AACCGCACCAAACTGTGATTCTTTCTGGTTGCATTGGTAGCTCTTGCAATGCTTCAGGCTGATCTTCACTCCAAAATCGACAGTTCTGCTTATTTACACACCCATTTAAAAATGAGCTTCGTCTCTGAACAAAAAAAAAAAATCACCCTTTATATGTTGATTCTTCATGCTTCTTTTAAGTATTGTTTCTGTACAAGAAGAGATAGCAAACACTTCTGCTGTGGTTTCTCCCCATTGTTCTTGGTATCTTTGTTTTGGGTTCCGGAATACCCGTCAATACCTACTACAGTCGTCGATCCTTCTGTGTGCCACACCTAGCCGAGTGGTTACGAAAGTCTAAATTCGAGGCCTGCTTCGACCAACATGCAAAAATTCTAGAAAATTAATTTTTCTTTATGTGATATTTGCGAAAATATTCGTTAAGTGCCGTAATTATGGTGAAATGTATTTCTGTATTTGCTCATGCAAACCTACTAGGTTTGCGTACAGTGATGGCAGATAGAAGAACGAATTGCCAAAAGTAGGCTAACTCCCATCGTTTGTGGATTCTCATAATAAGCGACTTTCAGAGTTTGGCCTTTGTTTGTCGAGAGAGAGGACATTACTTTTCAATAGCCTACTCAGTCCGTAGTTGCACCTGTTGGCGAATCTGATACTGCGTTGGATTTCCAGGTTGGTGTTAACAAAAATAGTGGCGTTGGAAGCGAGTCGCGAATGCGTTGACTGTTTTCTTGATGCCCTCAGCCATTATCAGACCCATACGCCGCACAATGGGGTAAGAGTGCTCAAAACGCGTGCATTGCCTATTTTATTCTATAGTTTCTATATTATTGATAATATTATCTGCAAATTACGACGTTTTGTTTGAAATTATTCAAGGAATCGGATTGTAGAGAAATTTTTATTTTTATTATTCTTTAGATTTTCGACTCATTTACTTAATGTTGCGAAAATGCCAAATATTACACATTTTCCAGCTGATTCGGGTCCTTATCACATTATACATACTAAATAAACTTTAAAGTCCTTTCAATGAGAAAATATGTTTATCGTAGCTTAAATTTAGTAAGTTTGATCAATAAAGTACATTTTTTTTTTTTTAAACAGTTTTTTAGTTTTTTTTAGTAAAGCTACCGATTAACATTTCTTTTATATGCCTTTTATATTAATAAGGAGAAGAAGCAGAAGCCTCAATAAAATAATTACTGTACGAATGTCTGTCTTTCTCTCTGTTTTTTACGTAAACTGGTCCCTTAGTTTCAACTAGACTTGGTTAGCAGATGTAGTTTCATTTGACATCAATCACTTTCGAAAGTTGTCAGATCGGATCACAACAACATAGACGCACATAGCCGACTTTAATAATTTGTAGATTTCCATTTAAAAATCATGTAAGATCTTGGAATTTTTACTGCACATACATAATTTTAAACAAATATTTACACCGAATCAGAATATATTTTAAATCCCTTATACAACCGATTTTTCACAACACCGAAACACAAATCAGGCGTTGTGCAAAGTTGGCTTATTTGGGACTGTCCGCACATAGTACAAACCCCAGCGCAGTCTCCAGATTTGAATGTGATTGAGAATCTGTGGTCAGTATCGGAACGAGAGATTCGAAAATATGAGATTTGAAATCAATCCGACCTAAAAAAAACCCTACAAACAGAATGGAAGAATATTGCTCGTGACTACACGACGAAGTTAGTGGAATCCATGCCCAAATGTAAGAAAGCAGTCATAGACAGCAAGGGGTATCTTACTAAATATTAATCAACATATAATTTTAGTTTTGTTCTTTAAAAAAAATGAGATTTATTAATTTTTTTGTTACTACATCACTTTGTCTGTGGACCACTGTGTATGTATATAGCCTTGGCCAAAAGGCACCCCACTAATTACTGAATTTCTTGTTTTAACAAGTGAAGTAATGAAGTTTTATTAGTAAAACAGTGAAAACACAATGAATTAGTGATAATAACATTAATATTTGATAGGTCCACCCTTCGATTTAATAACGGCAGCAATTCCCTTGGGCATGCTGAGTACAAGCTTTGCATATTCGTCCGCACTTATGGCGCACCACTCGTTAATTAAGGCATTATTTAAGGCAGTTTTCGATGTTATACTGTGCTTCTTAATCTTGCGTTTTAAAATAGCCTACATGTGCTCAATCGGATTAAGATCTGGAGACTGTCAGGCCAACCTAACTGTCGCTGATTTGTGACAAGGAGCATTGTCTTGCTGAAATTGAAGTCCATCTAAATTAATATCGCCGAAAATGCGCGTTAACGAAGGCAGAAGAACAGCTTTTAAAACATTTATGTATTTTTGACTGTCCATGCGATTCTCGCAAACGAACATTTCGCCGACACCATCAGCAGCCATGCAGCCCCAGTTCATATTGCTGCCTCCTCTATGCTTAACACGCAATATGGATGATATTCCTTCAAAAGCCGTCGCCTCACGAACGTCACACCGGTTGTTCTAAATATCTGTAGAAAAAAAATAATAATTTTTTCATAAGATTTGTATTATGTCTTCCAAAATTACTCTAGGGTAAGAAGCTATAACTGTTAATACTTTAAGACGATTTTAACTAAGCTTACCACGAAGTTTGATTCATCCGACCACAGAACATTCGACCAATCTTCTTCCGTGAAATGTTGGTATCGGCGAGCCCATTCCAAACCAATTTTTCTATTCTTTACTGAGAGCCACGGCTTCTTTCGTGCTTTACATTCTTTTGAACCTGCTTCTAGAAGTTTTCTTCTAGCTGTTCGAGCACTAACTGGTTTACTAAATTCATCCGAAAGGGCAGCTGCAGGTGCAGAAGAAGATTTTTTGCGATTCTTCAGTGACTCGCGCATAAGTATTCGGTTTTCTCGTTTACTAGTTAGACGCTTTCTTTCACTTTTTGATTTATTATTGTGGGATTTCGTCTCCACAAATCGCCTGATAGCGCATTGGACCGCGCACTGCGCACATCCCACCAAATTGGCAATCTCAACCTGAGACTTACCTTCTTTACTTAGAACTTGAATTCTAACTCAATCATCGTAACTAATTTAATTTTTTTAGGCATTTCGGTAAATATGAACTTTTTTTTTTAAATTTAGTAAGTTTTCACTAAATGTAATTTTACTTTCACTTTCAAATTTCAAATTTTAAATGCGAAAATGAAAATGAATTTCTTAAAAATTACAATTTTTAGGTTTGGCTTACCCAGAGTGCTTTGACTCTTAATATTACACAATTTATTCGTTTAATGAACAGTTAAACACCCATGCAAGACATTTACAAAAAGAAGTGGTAACTTTGATGGCCATATTTGGGAATACTTGTATTGTATTTTAGTGTGGTGCCTAATATTTTTGGCCAAGACTGTATATATTTTAATAATTGTGTAATTTGAGTATGTCAGTTAGAGCGCTAATATGTTATAACTGGATCTGAGTTAGTAAAAAAACGAGTCAAAATATATGTAAGATTATTAACTTTTGAACCTTTCCTGGCTTGTTGACCTCTGATTTCTTTGGTTGGTAGAAACTGAATTCAATAAAACTCTTTTTGCAATATGGTGTGACCCAACCAAGATGTCCTAAGCGAATTTGAACTCTTCTGAATTCGTAAAAACATTTAATTCAAGGGTTACTAAGAAATTTTAAAATATTTGACAAACAACGTAGACAAAAAATATTTTAATTTAGCAAAAGTTTGTTCTGAAAAGGTGAGTTCAAATTGAAATATCTCTGTAGATAGTTTGGAGCTGAAGTATTTTGTTGATCTACGATGAGTAGAAACAGTTTTGGTCCAAAGAAAATTTGTAATTTTGCCAAAAAAAAGCGTTTTCCTTAAGAGTTTGAAGGCTTGTATTTTTTAGACAAAAGAGAAATCGAAAAAATCGGGTTAAAGGCGGATAAATTGCAACCATATTCTGGTATGACAGACTAGAACGAACTCATTTAGTTGACAAATGGCTTTGCTACAGCCTATTTTGTCCAGCATCCAATTAAGCAATTTTCAAATACTAGAAAAAAAATAAACTCGAGGTCGCTCAACTTTGAATGGTCATATCTCTGGAACGTGTCATTTGATTTAATCACGGTAAAGCTTTTATGATTTCCTAATGTATTTGCAATAGAAAATCTTTACAAAAAATGTTCTGCTTGCTACTCTTCTTAATTTTGTCTTTAAGCCGTCTGTCGTTCAATTTTCGACTATGTTAATTGTCGTCCAGCTGCTCAAGCTCTTCATACCTACCCATTTCACCTTGTTTCTTTTTTTGTCTTCACATGCGTCTCTCTGGCTACTCTCTTCTTGCATGCAATTCCTAGACTAAGAGAATCACCAAAAAATTTTTACGCAGTAATTTCGAGTTTCCCTAATATTTAACACAGCTAACTTCTAGACTGACGTTGAATTTGAGCTCGATCGGTTGTTTTGTTGTGTTCAACTTCAGTTCTCGCTGCGAAATCTCTTTTTTGTCTTCTATCGGTTGAATACGGGAGCCTCGAAGTGGTATTCACAACGAATTGGCGCAATCAAACTCCTTCACCAGACTTCCGGGTGCACAACATCGCTTTAATTCAAGGCAAACGGTCAACATACCTTGATTTCTTGCTTGACTTTAGATCAATATTGACATGGTGTTTTCGGTTTCAACTCCATTGTTAAATACAAGCGTAAGTGGGCGCTATCTCATAAAGCGAACTCCGCCATGTATCCTTGATGGCTATGAGATGAGAATGGAGCTTCTTGCAAAGATATTCGAACTTAAACGGACAGATGCACAGTCAGAATGCCATGTCAATGATCACATGCTGTGGGCTTAACATCATCCGCTTCAATGCAGTATACGGTCGGCGGAGAGTATTTATATCCTCGGACTAGTGCTCTCAAGAAGCTGCCTATTTCTAATCAATACTTCATTAATCCGGTCTTCAATGAAGTAAAGTGTAAATTAAGAAGAAGAAAATTTGCTAATTTTTTTTAAAAAAACATTTTATTTTGGCACACTTTGGTGCAGTATAAAAATTTTTTAGGTTATGAAATAACCATTTTCTATCCGTAAACAGAACATATTTTCGGGGACTTAATTCCTAAAAAAAAAAAACTATATATCAAATAGTAGTCTTTAGTATTGTGGCGCTGCTGGAGCGTAGCTGCCTTGTGACGAGCTGCCAGCATTATAACCAGGTTGTGCTGTTGGCGCGGCATAACCACCCTGACCGGCATTACCACCATGATAAGCATCTTGCCCACCATTGGCGATATTGGCTAAAGCAGCTAATCCTTGGCTACCTTGTAATAGCTGGTACCCAGCAGCTTCGGCGTTGCCAGCACTTGCTGCACTGCCAGCATTACCACCAGCTCCAGCACCAGCACCATAACCGCTATTGCCATAAGCGCTGCTATAGGCCTGTTGTTGCTTCTCGTTAACAAAGTACTTCTCTGCTGGTGGCTTGACAACATTAACGTACACGGGTTCTACTTTAACTGGACGTGGATGATGCTTAACATAGACCTTGCGCAATACAACTGCTGGGGGTTTGTGCAAGACAACTGGTGCGGGTTTCACAACTAGTGGAGGATGGTTCACCAACACTTTGGTAGGTGGACGCTTAACAATGATAGCAGCCGGACGATGGATAAGAATTTCACCTTTGTTTTGTGGATAAGTGATGGAAGAGCTCACTGTGTTGGCACGTTGACCCAACGAGTAGGGGATGCTTTGAGCAGGCAAGATTTTACCGCAAGGGTTGGGTACACCATTGCCATCGCCTTGAATCGAGCCGGAACCGATGCCCTGGATGATGCCACTGAGCGCATCACCACCAATAGCACCAGCGCCAGCACCAGCGCCACCGCTACCATAGCCACCTGACGATCCCTGCGAGCCGTACGAAGCATGGGCTGTTGTGCTGCACGCCTGTATTTTTGTAGGGAAAAAAAGTGAAAGAAATTGTTAGCAAAGCGTAAGAAGAAATTGAGGAAATAAATGGAAATAATGCAAAAGTATAGTAAAGTGTGGTGAAACGTACAATCATTGCGATAGCGCAGATGTAAAGCAGGTGTTGAAAACGATTCATTTTGACGCAAACTGTTGTTGTTGCTGCTGCCTGGGTTTGCGGAACTTGCTAATACACCGTCGGCGTGTGTCTGTCCCTCTTTAAGTTATGTTTATGTGTTCTCAAGGCAAGAGCACCGTTAGCTGACTGTGGCCAATTGGTCAACTTGATTTGTTTAAATATGCTTTGACGACTTTGACGGGTTCACGCCATAATGTGCATTCAATTACGTGACATTTGTGCGGCAGCTCAGTGCGCCATCAACCGATGATTGTCTTTTGTCTGTTCAAATTTTTGTTGCGATTTCGTGTTGTTGATATTCGTTCGACATGTTTATCGCAACGATATCAATTCGGACTTGATTTTCTCGTAATTCAGTTCATTTGATTGGTTTGCTAATGTTGAAAATTGCTCTCACTGGGCTGGGCTCTCCTAAGTGCCAACGAAGAGGTTGTAAAAGATGCGATCATTTCCGTGTAATTGATATGATAAGTGATTGATGCTCAGGATTGCAAAATACGTGTATGTAATGCACATGCATACATACATACGTGTATGTAGCTTCAGTACTTACTTAGTTTTCTATGCACAATTTGGTGGGGAAATAATCTATTGAGTTTCATTCCATAATCAGGGTTTACTGCTAACTCGTGACCCGGTTTCTAAACAAAATAAATATATGTACTTGTATGTAAATATATCAAATAAATATAAATATATCTATTTACATACAAACGATGAAAAAAATTTGACTTTTACTGCCTTCTAAGTTTTTATGAAATCTGAGCATTTTTTGAGAAAATTAAATGCGTTGCCTTTTTAATCCAAGAACTCTTCTGTCTTCTTCTTTCGTTCTGGCGTAGGCACCACTTATCCAATTATAGCCGGGTTAACATTAGCTCACCATTCGTTCCTTCTTTTCACTGTTTGGCGCTAATTGAAAATACCAAGTATCTTCCACATGGTGTTGCCAACGGAGTGGAGATCTGCTTTCACCGACGGGTACTGCATCCATCCATTCAGATCACAAAAATCTCTTGATTCGCTGAACTATGTCAATGTCAATGTTCCCAGCGGATAGAAGACCATAAATCTGACACCACACCTCTATCATAAAAACTTCCAACGCCGGGTTATTAGATATTGTGATCGTCCGTGCCTACGCCCCATATATAGCAGGGCGGAATGATGAACGACTTGTAGAGTTTGGCCTTAGTTTGTCGAGAGAGTACTTTACTTTTCACTTGTCTGACTTGTCACTCCGAAATAGCACCTGTTGGCGAGAGTGATTTTGCGGTGGACTTCACTTTGTTGATATTTTTGTTGTTTGCTCGTTACAACATCAAGCCAACACTGATGTGAGTGCCGAGTCGCGAATGCGACCACTCTTTGTTTGATGACAGAAGATATTTTATTTTGCCCTCGTTCACTACCACTTCGCTTCGCTTCCTTATCTAGTCGTGAGAAGATAGGACACACTGCGCGGTTGTTGAAGCCTATGATGGCAATATCATCGATGTGCGCCAGTAGCCGTACACCCTTATAGAAGGTATTCCCCAGTTAGCGCTGCAGCTCGAATTATTTCCATCAGCAATAAATTAAAAGTGGTCGCACGATAAGTAATTACCCTGTCTGAAACCTCATTGGGTATCGAACGGTTTGGAGAGGTCCTTTCCGATTCTGACGTAGGTTTTGCTTTACGGCAGTGTAACACAGCGGCATAAGTATTGCGGCTATACCGATTTCAGACATAGCGTCGTAGAAGCTACTGCCTTTCATGCGGTCGAAGACTGCTTTCAAATCGATGACGAGGTTATGTGTGTTATCTTTTTAAGGATCTTGTCCAAGACTTCGATTTACCAGCTCTAAAGCCACAGTGATAAGGTCCAACCAGGTCCAGTTTGTTGACGGTGGGCTTTAGTCATTCACAGATTACGTTCTATAGGACCTTATATGCGTACATTTAAATGTTCATTTTCTGCAAATAAGCTGCTGTATGCAACTTGTCGGCTTTTCACTCCCGGTTTGAATAGCTCGGCCGGTAATCCATCGGCCGCTGCCGCCTTCTTGTTTTTCTAGCGGGAAATTGTTGTCTGAATCATAGTTTAGCAATCGAACATCTGTTTCATCGTCATCGATTGGTTTGAAAAGTGTTCCCTCCAAAAATTCACTATACGGTCTTGAGACCTTCTGTAAGTTGCCGATTCCTTTCATAGAATTTTCTTGCATTACCCCTGTCGAACCTCTCCTCAAGTTCTACATACTTACACATCTCGGCATTTTTCTTTTTCTGACTGTACATGTGTCGGCTTGCCTCTTAAATTCTTGGTATCTATCGGGGTGAGGGGTGGACGTGCAGTGGTTGGTCGCAACTGCTTTCTATCCACTAGACTATCTTCGTCGTACCAGCTGTTTTTTTTTTTTTTGCATTTCGGAAAACTGCTGCTGTATGCAGGGAGCTTGGAATATCGTTCCACAGTTCCTGGCAAGTGCTTTTAAAAAGCACGAGTGTAAGTCGAGTAGAAAACTGTTCGGTTGCTGTTGTGATTGTAGTTTTTGGTTAAAATAATTAAATTTTTAATATAGAATAATCCAAATCAAAATTAATATAATCACAGCTGAAAAAATATAGGCATAAATTTTAACCGTTTCAAAATTTTGTCTTAAATATTTCACAAAATATGCATAACCGTTGACATCAATACTGAAAAAGGTCATGACATGCCGCTCCAAATTGTCAGTGTCTGTTAAATTCAGAATCGTCAGGTACCAAAAACCGAAAATAATATTTATGCTTAAGCTCACTATGGGCTTTGCAATGCCGTCAAAAACATTGTTGAGTAGTAAAATTACAGTCAAACTGAAATTTGCTTTAGAATAAGAAAATGGCTGAAAGCGAATATTTTTCATTTTTTTGTTTATTCTTCATTAATTGTAATTTCGCACACAAAAATTCCATAATTTAGGGCAATTTTTTTCTTTTATAATTTAATTAAGAGCGCAAAATAGGAATATTATTAACATAACGTTGGCATTTCAATAAAAGGATCTTCAGTAATTAAAGGAATTTTTTCCATAGAACAGGCGGTAAAGAATTTACGGAGTGTAGATCTCAGGAGTAGAAAGTATGTCTCGCTTGTTTTGAGTTTCTGGTCACTTTCTTCTACTTAAACTAGAAACACCTCCGTTGTGTCTTTATTTAATGAAGCATATTTTTTGTCTGTTTTTTTGTTGTTATTGTATGAAAATTTTCACCGAAAAATTTGTTAACTCCGCACATTTATAATGAGTTTACAAACTCACATGAAAGTGGTTTATCGCAACTTAGGTAAGAGACTGAATAAACGGGTAGCAGTAAAATTATTGAAGAAATGAAAGGAAAACTTTCCAAAAATGCTTGGCTTTGTATATATATGTATATGTATATTTAAAAAAAATTATTTATTAGAGGAATCGATTTCCGAAAACCGCTTGACGACTTTATTCCAGCAACATAACAAAGACACTACCAACAAAGCGTAAATTAGAAACCTGCCCATTTTATTGTATTATTTTCTAAAGTTCATTAAATACTTTTTCTAAATCAATAAATATGTGATTTCTTCTATTTATATACGTGTGTACTTATAAACTTCAAAATATTTACTGTCTTAAAGTGATAAATTTGGAAAATATTTCTGAAATCTATAAGGAAATCATTCCCAACTCCGCCATTGTAGCAACATTTGCGGTGACCCTCGAAAAAGGTGCGCCGGCTTTAACAGTAGAATTCATGAAGATATCAATGGAAGTTAAATAAAAGAAAATTGTGTTTAATTAATAAAATAAAGTGGATTGAAAATTAAAAAAGGAAAAATTTTAATTTTTGTAGACTTTTTTTTACCAAAAAAATAAAATGGTTAAAATTTTCTCAACATTATTTAAAGAATAAAGTTTAAAGAAAAACCAATCCTTCGTCTGATTCCTTGAGTATTGCATCTCGAAGGTTTGTGTAAAATTTCATCAAGATCGGTTAAGTAGTTTTCGAGAACTTTTGTCGGCGGACTTTGAAAACACAGTTTTGGAAAAAAAGTTCAATGCGCTGCGGCTACCTGCCTTCTCAACACTGCATCGCTGAAACTTTTATTCTGATCGATTTAAAAATTTTAGATAATATTCTTGAGATGTTGTAGGATTTAATAAGATAACAAAGTAAACGATTTTTGAGGCAGTAAAACCCGTGTAATCCACTAATGAAAATTTATTGTCTTAGCCAAAAAAATAAGAAAAAATATTAGAGCTATATATATATATAACTATTAAGCAATGGAGACAAAAAATAATATCGAAAATGTCCAAATCTCAAGATGTTACTAAAAAATTCAATAAACATTTCCATTTTAAAATTATCTGCGGTAATATTTATAAAGTCTAAAAAATCAATTTAGACCAAAAACAACGCTGCTCTTCGAGTTTCGAGTTTTAATTTAATTTTATTTTATTTTAATTTATACCTTTTAACCCTATGGTGGTAGGCTATATACAAAATAAACCATCTGGATATGATTTTCAGACTTTGAATGATCACCATCATCGGGGCACTCAAACCAGCAACATCTGCAGTGGCTAAATGCGATTTATAACTGCTGCGAGTCTACACTCATCTAGGCAGTTCTAAAATGAACGAGGTAGTTAGTAGGGTTTCAGTTTACTGCACCCAACTAGAGTTACATGACTTTTATAAGCAGCCAAACCATTGTAGTATCTTCCAAGCCGAAATATTTGCTATAAAAATGGCGGCAGAGCTACTGCAAGCTACCGGTTTTTAAAGGAAGAGAAAATATATTCATCAAGACCTTAATTTTATCCAGTACGAAGTCAGCTGTGGTAAAGAGGCGATAAAAATGGTAAAAGAAGAGTTTGCACCCACTAGGTGACAGGCTAAGGAGGTTGACCTTTTAAAACGGCACGTAATATTGAACCTATAAGTCCTATTCAGAGAAGTGAAGCAAAAGCAAGAAGTAATCATAATTCGTCCATCTAATAGACTTACGGAACGAGCTAAGAGCTGCATAATCGCGAAAATTTTTAGATACTGTTGAGCTGGTAATCTGTGAGTGTCCAGCATTAGGCAGACAAAGGCTATGCTTACTTGGCGCAGAAAGGCTATAGAAATTTCAATCGGCAATTTACAAGGGACCAAAATGACCAAATGTAGTGTGTTTGAAAAAACTAAATCATCTGAGTGAGACCCGCGAGATAAGCTAGTTCAACCTAACCTCAACTTAGCTTACCTCAGTCTGACTCATATTTGACTTTATTAACAAATACGCTCTACCACATCGTTGATCGCAAAACAATAGCATTGGGGGTTTCCTGTCGTCTATAAATAATTTCTTCTTGTGAAAAATAAAATCCATAAATAAAAAAAGTTGTTCATTCTATATTAGGCTGACTGCATGGTAAAATCCAAAAGCCCAATCACCACCGACTGTGACCAAGTGTAGTATTTTCATTGGTTCGCGCTGGCGAATTCGTTACCATCGACTGTCTCAGGTCCTTAGTTGTGATAAATGAATGGTCTTTTCAATGGCTTCGGTGCGGTCGCTTGCGGTCAGTTCCTCAACTAACCTCTTTCAACCAAGCATCTACCACTGAAACCGGATCCCCATGACAATTCGGCAGTTGCTACAAACAGTAAAAAGCTCTTTTCAACTTGCGAACAACTTCAATTGGTACATAGAAAATTAATAAGTCGATAAATTCTGGTGCGAAAAATTTGTTTTTATTTTTTCTTTGTCTAAGAGGACAAATGTTTGTACAAAACATGTAAAAAAAAAATTTACTGAAAAAATACTATGCTATGCTTTTGCAAGTAGCTACACTAAATTTAGTAGCCCGATGCTGGTGGAGCGCTGCCATAGCTGCTGCTGCTTTGAGGCGAACCGTAGGATGATTCAGCGCCATAAGAAGCAGCAGGCGCAGCGTCATAAGATGCAGAAGGAGCAGCGCCATAAGAAGCAGCAGGAGCAGCACTATAAGATGGAGCAGGCGCTGCATTGTAAGATTGAGCAGGAGCAGCACTGTAAGATGGTGCGGGTGCTGGTTCATAAGAAGCAGCTGGTGCGGAGTATGATGAGCCACCATATGAAGGAGCCTGGTAGTTCTGTTGTACACCAGGTACCAAAGGAGCATCGATCTTCTTGCCTGGTTTGTAAACCTTAACGTAAACTGGGTTCAAACTGAGTGGAGTAGGCACTTTGTTGATCACTTCTTGTTGATAGATTACAGATGGTTTGATCTTGTAGATGACAGGCGCAGCCTTGACCACAGCAGCTGGTCCACCACCAATTTGAGTGGGTGGCAAAGCTGGCTGGTTGACAATGATTGGTGGCAGAGGTTGTGTTGCGATCACTTGATGGTTGTTTTGGCCAGATGGCACCAAGAGTGAACGGTAAACTCCCTGATCGATTACATTGGGCGCAACAATATTGATGTTACCCTGGCGGATTTTCGAAGCCAAGCTGGATTCGGCCAAAGATTCGGCAATGGCATCAGAGTTCTTCAAATTGCGATAAACTGGGTTGGAGTTGAGTGCCTGCAATTGAGCTTGCACTTGATTGAGGCGAGCCACCTCGGCGGGTGAGACGGGTATTTCAGCATTAGCGGGCGTAATGGTACCGCCAGCTTGTTGTGCACCACCAGCAGCAGCCTGTACTAATTCATCGAGACCGTTCGATGAGGCAGAGGATAAATACGATGAGCCACCACCACCGCCACCGGAAGAAGAGCCGTAAGAGGCTGTTGCGAGCTTTATAAAGACGAAAGAAAGAAACATTTACAATTAGTATGGAACTTCTTTGATGCAATGCGCTGTGTAAGTGAGTGTGTGCGTTTTAATTTCTAATCTTTATTTTTCTTTTCGGATTCTCAATGAATGTGTTTGTATTTATATTGAGTACACGTACCGGTGCGGCAACGAAGAAAAGTGTGAATAGAAAACAGTTCATTTTATGACGATCTCTCTGATCTGTTACTGCCGATGGACTGTCTGCTGAAGTTGGTCGTAATACTACTTGTACCGGAGATGTTATTGAAGCTTTTATATAAGTGTGCTACACTGAGTTCTTACGTACGTGATCTCGGCTTAAAATGCGGGTAACGCGATCAAAATTCATTTGTAAATTATTGGAGATTAGTTGTGTGCGATGCGATATCTTGTCCAATGCTGGTACTCTTTATATTATTCACCAATTGATAGCAATCAAAGCTGACACACAGAAAGTCGTTATTTCGTCGAAATTTATAATGACATTTGTTGGTGCTCTCTATGACGATGAGCTGAGCTTCCGCCGTTTAGTCGCAGCACTCCGATTGGATTGCAATTCGTTTTAGCATAAATATGTATGTATGAGCTACTGCAGCACTCTGGTGTTTGTCCAGCCCTGCTTGGGAGCACGCGAGACCAATCTATATCACAGGGGTCATCTAAGGCGATGTTCAGGGAACGAGCTATTTAGGTGAGTTTGAACCACAGGAAAAGGGGGGACATTCAAAGCGGTGGTTAATATGGTGCGTTTGGAGTGTTGGACTAAAGTCTGGATAAGAAGCAATAAATTCGACTACATAATTCAGATCTTAATTGTACCAGCATTCCCCGGATCCCTCAATTCAGCTCGATTGCTCTGCAATAGATGGTGCTTGGATTCCGAGGACGCCATTCACTGGCAGAGAGTTCGAGAAGGTGTTGACGGACTCTAGCTGAATGACGTCTAAAGTCTGTCTTGCGGTATGGTGTAGAATTAATTGAGTCTGTGTAGTTTAGTACTCACTTCCTAATGTGCTTTTGTGGAGGACTAATTATTATCCTCCGTAATTTCGACGCCAAAGTCCGAAAGATCGCAGCTAATTGAGTTTGAGTAAAAGCAAGTATGGTCTTTATTATCAGCGATCTTCACTCTGTTTTTTTTAAGTCAAAGATCGAAACAGAATTTTTCCTTGGATGGTATAGCGAATAGTGGGAGAATTGCTAAGTATTCTTATTTAATGCATACAAATCCAAGCCAATAAAACATTTGGTTTCAATGGTAGAAGAGATTTTCAGTTTGCAAAATACTTTTTTTTAAGGCTCAGTCAGTCGGTAGGAACTTACAATCTCTCTGCGTGCCTGACTTATAGAACACGCCCTGTAAGATTTATAACTGTAGATATCTTCTTTCGTTTTGGCGCGATAAGGTCCAATGACTTTATTTTATCCCATGCAGGCCCACTTTCCTGGTCACATTACATACATGTATTGAGTCTTCTCCATCTTTAATTAACAACTCTCCTATAGTGAGTTTCCAAGTGGAGAGCGGCTTGCCTAAACTCTTCCACGATGGCGAGAATGGAAGGAAAGTGCAAGTGCTTCATTGCAAGCACATCTGTCATCTCATTACTCGGTATGTTCCTCTGTCCAGACATCCATACATACCATGTTCAAAGAGAACTGCTTAGCCATCAGGTCAAGTGATCAGAGGCAATTCTCTATTGTTTTTGATTCTGCTGTTAAAGATTCCAGGGCTCTTAGCATAGCCTGGTTACCTGAAAAGAAGAGCTTTCTGAGAGCAGCATTGAGCTAAGACAATTGACAGCTTTATGTATAGCCATGTAGAAGTGATCTCAAACGTGTCCGTACTTTGAAACTCGATATTTTATATGTCAGAGAGGTTTCTATGCTTCAACGTTGAAATATTAGATCCACTATTTTTGCAATTGGTAGCTTGCTTTAATGATCTGCACCTGCGTTCTATAAGTTATTGGATTAAGCTGGCTGACGTTAGAAAGATGACATTTTATACTGGAAAAGACGAAGCAGTTGAAAATTTGAATATAGGGTTTGGTCCTGACACACTGCTCAGCGGTGTGGAAAGCCAATTGTCGAGAATTTCGATAAAATAATGGAAACTGTTGAGTCTGGGTGTCATTAAAACACAGGAACTATATAAATATTGCTCAGTTTGAAACCACCTGAAAATGGCTGGATTCACAAAGGCGCTCGTTGTGAGAGTTAATGAGCAAAAACATCTTGGACCGAAACTCCATCTACGCATAGCTGCTAAATCGTAACAAAATTGACCATTTTCTAAAGCGAATGGTGTCTGATGATGAAAAGTTGATCACTACAGCAACATCAAATGAAAATGGTCTCGATCGGAGAGCACTAAGCCGGCACAAACGATCTCCAAGCCAGAACTGACGACCAGGAAGGCTTTGCGGTGTGTTTGGTAAGATTGACTGCTTCCCTACTGCCAAATTGGGCCGTCTAAAGAAGGCAATCGTGCAGAAGCGACAACTTCTGGCCAATATGAGGGAATTTGTGTTTCATCAGGTCCACGTCAGAACACAGCCATCGATAATGACTCGCCAGAAGCTTCGAGAGCTTGATTGGGAGGTTATTAAACATCCATATTATAATACGTACATCGCGCCAAGTGGGTACCATCTGACCTCAAGAGAAGCCTGCGAAAATTAATTTATAATATATAATATTAAACAAGAGTTTCTATGTGGGAGGCATAATGAAATTATCTTCAAAATGACATAAAGTTATCCTGCAAAACCGTGCATATTTGATGACATACACTGTGTGTCCCAAGAATAACCGAACTTTATATTTAAATCATACAACATACAGCACCTTACACGATTTAAAAATGGTCGTGAGGATTTAAATGACGACCCTAGAGCAGGACGTCCAGAAATTAGTAGTCGTGCTGAACTGGTGGAAAAAGTCCGTGAAATCATTGGTATCGATGCAAATTTTACAACGAGAATGTTGGCTGAGGAATTGAATACGAGTAAAAACACTATATGGAGAATTTTAACTGAAGATTTGGGGAAAAGAAAGGTCTTTGCGCGATTTGTTCCACATGAATTAAATGACGACCAAAAAATCGCTCGAATTTTTAATGAAAAAAGAGATTTCTCTCATCGACCATTCTCCGTCTTCGCCTGATCTATAACCATGTGACTATTTTTTATTTCCAAAACTGAAAACCAAGATGAAGGAAGCATTTTATGATGATATCCCAGCCATTCAAGCAGCCGTAACTGAGGTACTGAAGAACATTTCTATAAATGACATAAAAAATCTATGCATTCGCTGGTTGATCGTTCCAAACGTTGTGTTGAGTCAAATGGAACCTATTTTGAATAAATAATAACTTTCAAAGATAATACAGTGTGTATTTTATTTTATATCCAAAAAGTTCGGTTATTTTTGGGACACACATCGCATAATTAATTCTAACTATGGTAAATGAAGCCTGCAATTTGATCAAAAAATAATGGTTTACTTTTTACTAAACCAATGTTTAGTTCGGTGAGTCTACGTCCGAGATATTCCACTGTCTTCAGGGCTTTAGCCCTTCGGCCTATTTTCAACCAGTCTTATTTGCTTATCGCTTTCTCTTAGTTCTATTGAAACACCTTAATTTTGAATTCATTCATTTATTTGTTGATTATCTCAGCCTTAACAACTATTTATCAAATAAAACGTATTTAAATAAATAACTTAGATTTAGTTCCATTCGCAATAACAATTACAAGCCCTGCTGGTATAACTCGCCATTTGAGCGGCTGCCGCGACTATATTCCGGATAAATATGGTATGGTTGCGACTGCGACACATCATATGCACCATAAGAAGACTTCGAAATGGCATTCGACTCCAGCGTCTTGTGTTGTTGCATGGGAATTGTATTGATGTTGGTGGTATAAACGTCTTGATTGTAATAATTTGTTGAGGCGTATGAAGGTGTTGGGTATTGTTGGTGTGATTGTTGTATTGGCTGTTGTTGTTGTTGTTGTTGTTGCATTGTTTGTTGTTGTTGTTGGTCCTGAAGTGTTGTCTGTTGATGTTGAGTGGTGTATTGAGGCGGTGTCATTTGTATGTGATATTGTGTTTGTGTCGGTTCGGTTTGTTGAAAATGTTGATTTAGTGTATACTGTTGGTGTTGTTGTTGATCATAAGTCATTGCTGTTGGAAATATTTCTTGTGGTGTGTATTGTGTATTATCTGTTTGTGTTTGCATCTGTGTCTGCTCCCCATCAAGTCCCTGTTCACCCTCTGTAATTTGTGTATTTGTTTCTGTATTGTCCGCGTATTGGTCTGGATCTCTCACACTTGTTGGTTGACTATGGTAGATTACCGGTGGCATTTTAACCACTACTGGTGCCTCATTCGTTTCCAATTCAATCTGCTTGCTTGACTCGGGTAAATTTACCACCACAGGTCTCTCTTCCAGCGTCCCTTGCATTGTTTTTGTGCTTGTGTCATTCTGTGTATTTGTTTCTTTGGTATCGGTGCTATTGTTTTCCGGCGCATATTTCATATTGATCTGTTGGAAATTTTTATATTTCTTTAGATCATCTTTGTAAACGCTTTGTTTAAGCACGTCCGTGAAGCTTTGCTGCTCATTATCTGGAAGAGACTGCGCTGCAATGGTGTCTTGCTTTTCGCTGTTTGCAACCGTCTTCGGCTGATCAACAGTCTCTGCAACATTTTCCGATTTTTGCTCATTTTTATGCTTCCGACGCACTTTTCTCAACTTCTTATTGCCCTCAAACGCTTTCACTTTCTTCTTTTTAAGCTGCGCTTCAACGGGCTTATCGTCGATTGTTGTTAATTTTACAATATTTTCTTGCACTGGTATATTAATGGTAACATCATCATTCTGTACTTTATAAGCGGCACCATTTTCGCTCATATTGAAAACGCCATTACAACGCTCTTCACCGCCCACCTGTAGGTGTATGGCATTCTTGAAATCCTCACCCAAATGCTTGAGCCAAAACGTCTCGTCTACATCGCCGGTAGTGAAAAATCGTGATGTCTCTCCCTGACCCGTCTCGCTTTGGCTAATCTCACCCTGCTGTTGTGCCACATCAACAAAATCATATTTGTCATCACTACCTTTGTATGGGGTGTAGGGCGCATCGGCGCTGATATTCACAGCGTTCGACTGTTCATTAGAAAATTTTATTTAGAAAATTTTAGTTAGAAAATGTAAATTACACTTTTTCTTCTTTTCAAATTTTTATTTTTTATATTTTATTTTTCAATTCTAGTCACACACTTACATGCCACGCCAGCAGAAACACCAGAACAACGTTGAACCGCCACGCGCATTTCCATCGCACGGCAGTCATATTGAGCTTTCTCTTTTGCCGTAGCAGTGGAAAATCAAAATAAAAAAAAAAGTGCAATGATTTTTGTTCAGTGCAATCTCATGTTTCTGACTGAATCAAAACGCTATCCGGTGTTGTCTTAAATATGTAAATAGTTTTGCTTCATTTGTCTACAGCATCAAAACCGCGTTGGAGGAAAAGTATTTATTTCACCACGTTTACCTTTTTCTGTGGTGTTTGGCTTATAATTCTTTAATTTCACTTAATTTATTTCACCAAGCAGACGTGCTTCTCAAGCATGTTTTCGCGCATAATTATTGTTTTTATTTAGTCACAATTTGTTTTTTGTTTTTTCATTTGAATTGTTGAATTTTTCACACTTGTAAATTAAGTATTTATTTTCATTCTTCCGTAAATTTGGCCATCAAGACCTTCGCGGCTCACACAATCGAAAAATATGTTTATAAAATCGTATATGTATATAAGCATATATGTATTTATTATATTTAAATATTATTTATGTATGTATTATTTACTGTAAAAGCCAAAATTGTCTGATAAAACACGAATATTAAAATAATAAAAGAAAACTTTAGCAATAACTACCGGTAGCTACATATGTAGGTGTGTTTCGCTGCATCACAAGAAATATTTAAAAAGTGAAAAATCTTCGTATTATTCTGTATTAAAAGGTCATGCATTATTTTTTAAGGTTTTATTTGCCATAATTGGAAATATCCGATTTTTTTTTTTAAATAAACACCGTTTTGCCCGAACACTTTTTGCCACTTCGCGGGAAATGCAATTATGCACCTCACATGGAAAACCTTTGTGCCTATTGGAAAAAAATTGGGACTCTCGTTTGTCACATGCTTTCAATGAAGCAAGTAGTGGTCCAAAGTAAGATGTCGTATGAGAGCAACTTATAGTATATGATTTCTTGCCAATCCCACCAAACACACAACAAAACTTTTCTGGACGTCTATCCCGGCTTGGAGATCGTTTTCGCCGGCTCAATGCACTTCGAACATGACTGTTTTCGTTTCACGGTGCTGTAGGTGATTCAGTTGTCATCAGCAGTCACCATTCGCTTTAGAAATAATTTGATGTTGTTAATATTCTGCAACGATTCGCAGATGCGAGACTGGGTCCATGAGGTTTCAATTTGTCATTATGTCATACGGCTCGAAGATCGAGCGTCTTTGCGTATTCAACGTTCTTCAACAATGCTCGCATGACGGAATATAGCGTATTTTCTCTTTTCTCTGGTGCCCATCTTTGGCATGCTCTCAAACACTACTGAGGTATGTGATCAATCCTACTCCCGCTATATATTTTTTGGTACAAAATATGATTTTTCCAATCATCTTTTGGACCGAAAATTTGAATTGAATTTGAATTTCTGAAACTTAGCTACTATTCACAATAATTTAGCAGTATTTTTCGTTGATAATACTCAAATCGTTCGACAGCAATTTAAAAAAAAAAAATTAAAACTGTCCAAGGCGAATTTATAGAAGGTGAAGTTGTCAGATTATGTGATTGCTTGTTCTTCCTCCGATTTCAACCAAATGTATTAAAAATAGGTTTTGACATTTCGAACGTTCTTTTACACAAACAAAATACATGGAATTTTTGGTTTTGTACTCTTGCTATTACCGTGTGTGAATTCGCCTTGCTGCGTGCAATTGGAAATTGAAATTAAAAATTAAAATTTTTATTTTCGCAATTATATGAAACTAAGTTGCAGTCACTGATTTCGGGGTGGTAACGGTTTGAAATTGAAATTTTTCTACTGCGAAGGCACCTTAAGGGGTTATGTGGGTTTATACGTGGAGAAATGGGATATTTTCAACATTCAAAGTTACAGTGGGTAGAAAAAGTAAGTTATCAAAGTGAAATATAATGCAGCGAGGTGAATAAGCTTTTAAAGTTTATATTTTTACAAACAAAACACATAATATTTTTTATTATGATCATATTTCAAAATATCAAATTAAACTATTTTTAAAACCTGAAAAAAAATTTCTTGATTTTATAAAAAGAAAGCATAAATGCAAACAGTAAATTTCAGGTGGAAAAATTAATAATTTATTTTATTTTGTTTTATTCATTTAAAATCCACAATGTCTATAATTTTGCATTGCTAGTTGAACTAATCGTTGTTGCATGGAGTAGACAAGTTTTAAACATTCATTTTGAGAAAAATCTATGCAAACCTTCAAATCAGCCAAGTTTTGGGGTCTCTCTTGCTGTCAGTTGGTGACAAGTCAGGGCATTATGTTGAAAATGGAAATTCGGTCAAATTAGTCGTTGAATCTCGGGAATGGTGTGCTCCTTTAAAATGTTTATATAAACTACAGCAGTAACTACTCCTTCCAGAACCATAAAATTGCCAATTCCATTCGCAGCTAAGCATCCACAAGCCATCAAACTCTTTTCCAACTCTTTTCATTGGGTGAGCGCCAAACGTAAACCCTGACATGGGAATAACGAAGTCTAATCATCGACTAACCGACACTTTATACCAAAAATTTTGAGTTTTTAATATGTGCTGTTCATGAAATGCTTGTCTTTTTTTCTATTTGGCTCATTTAGGTAGGGTAAATTACTGGCAACGCGGTCGTAAATGTTGGCTTGACGGAATCTGTTACGGACAGTGAGCACTGAGAGGGTCTTTTTACGCTCTTCTTTCGTTAGTTGCTTAAACTCTGCCTGTTTCATTTTTTTTTTTGTTTTTTATTTATTGTAAAAAAATCGCGTAAATATTTCAAAAAAAAAGATAAAAGAAAAGCCTAACCTACCAGTCCAATTTTAAGATTCATAAAATACAAAATTCTTGCACCTTTCATTAAGAACACTAATTATTGCACTTGATAACTTACTTTCTCCACACTTTATTGCCGAGCACTTTTATAGAATGTCACGCAAATTTCTCACCAGACACACGTTCGCCAATAAAATTCATCTATAGCCGTACTTCGTTAACGGCACTTACCGAAACATATACAAAAAAATTTTATATTCGTCAAAGCGTAAAAGAGAACATTTTTTTCTACCCACTGTACATTTAAAAATATGTCTGAAAACATTTATAAATACGCTATTGTGACGTCATTTTCCGTCATTGATAGTAGAACTCAGGATCAACCGAAGAGAACAAAAGAAAATCGTATTTAAGTTAATACTAGAATTTCGACGAAGTGACACTGGGTTATCTATGCATCTCTGAAACTTTTCCTTAGATCGATTTGTCGACTAAATTTATTAGAATACAATTAATTAGAATATAGATTTTGGGGTTCGGAGACCCTTATAACCCCTTAATGGTTAAGCGTCTTTGAAATTAATCATAAATTAAAAACTTAGCTAACTGCAGACATTTATGAAAATCAGTTTTCATGAAACAACTATTATTTTATGATGAAAATATTTATTGCAAGAAATTTTTAAAATTATACCGTTAGTTTCTGAGGAAAGCAATACAAAAGAGTGTAGTGTGATTTGGTCTACTCAATATGCAGACCGTAGCTCAACGCTCAATCAATCAATAACCACCATGTTCATAGCTATAAAAGAGAAAACAAGAAAGTAATGGGATAAGAGAGAATTAAAGAAATATTCCGGCTTAATAATAATAATAATAACTTTGCGGTTTACAATTTATTAAAACTAGTTGCAGCTTCACACACAATTTCTTAACAACTACTAAGTCTACGCTTAAAGTCTAACATCGAAAGATGCGAAAGAATTTGTTAAACCAAATTGATAATTAAAGAGAGCTTATGTTGGGCTGTCTTTAGTGGTTAGTACAGCGGCGGCAGGAGGTCGTGCAACTGTGGTATACCGTAATCATGAGGATCACCGCTGTAACTGGTGCTGTATTGTGGTGGATTGTATTCATCTTCTTGGCCAAACCATAAATTCAACCGGCCGTCGATGAGTTTCTTCAGAAATGATATCGTTTCCATTTCTTGCAATGGTTCCGGATCGACCAATGCGCCGGCAAAGTGTTTTGTGGCATCAATAAATTCTGGATGTCTGAAGATAATGTCGGAGATTATCTTATCTAATTGTTCGTTGGATATGTGCTGCACTGGATAGCTTTCGGCATGCGCAGAGGGCGGCATACCACCACCACCACCACCACCATATTGGGTATGAGTGGCATAGCTCGCTGGTGGTATTTCCAAATCTCCAGCATAACTCAGCGGTGTAGCATTGTGATCCAGTGGATCCGGCACCGATATCGTGGTCACAGCACGCACGCGATCATTGTTTTCTGAATATTTGCGACCCAAGTGATCGTAAAAGTAATGTGGTGGTGCTGGCACTTTAGCCGTCACTGTAGACTTCACTGGCGCTGCTGATTGAGCAGTTTTCGTGTATGTTGACTGGTGCGGCATATAATTTGGGTCAGTGAAAATCGGTTGTGCAGTTGCTGTTTGTGCATGATAAGCTCTTTTGCTTTGAGCTGAGTCAGTTGTTGGTGTTGACCTACCATTAAAATAGTTGGCTGCATTCCGTTTTTTATATGAAGATGTAATGAAATTTTGTTGTGCGGAATCTTTGGTTTCTTTGGTTTCGTTGCGTGGCTCCTTCTCATGTTGTTTGACGGGTGCTCTATTTATGTTTGAATTTTCGTTTAGCGCTGCCGCCTCTCCATTCGTGTGCATATCCTGAATATCCATGCTCATATCGATGGTGCGTTCCTTGCTGCTATTGGTGTCGGTGTAGGTAATGGTAACGTCCGGATTGTCTGTGTTGATTTCATGGCTAATGATGCTGTATTCGGTTGAGGTGGGATTTTCGCTGGGGTCACTTTCCGTCGACTTGGCTGGTAGATCGGGTTGCTGAGAGCCACAACCGAAATAACATTGACCACGCTTAAAATCGGGCTGCAATGTTTCGGGCATGAATTGTATGATTTCAGGCAAAGTCAGATCCATCTGCTCACGTTCCTTTTCTAGCAGTTCGTACTCACCCTTGATATCGCGCCTCACAAGACGTGAGCGTTTATGTGTATAGCGTGTCTTCTTCGCCTTACGTTGCACCTTACGTTTCGCCTTCTTCGGTTCGCTCTGTCGCTGTGGCTGACGTTGTCTGTTGCTGAGGCCCTCCAAGTCGAACAAACGATGTGGTCTATCCGACAGATTCTTGTGATATAATTTCATGAAACGTCCTTGACGCTCCTTAGCCAATTTGCGTGGCCCGAAGAGTGTGCGTTGTAGATCTCTTTTACGACGTTTATTACCAGTGCCAACCTCCATACCGCCACTGCCGTTGCTATTGACATAATATGCCTCATCTCCTTCATCACCACCAGTTTCCAAGAAATTAGGCGCTGACATCAAGTCACTAACTGGTTGGTTAAGCATAAAAATCGCATTTGGCGAGTATGCCGTAGAGGCCGTAGAGGCCGCACGACTCAGATTGCATTTACAATTTGGTCTTTGGCATTTGCATGGTAGTGGTGGTGGTGGTGGGCTCATATTATCATCAAATACATACCTATATAGCGGTTTTGTGATGTCACATTGTCCACAACGGCAGTTAGACGGCGCTGTTGGTGCAGCGTAACTATCTTCACAATCTTCAAGAAATTAATTGTTACAATTTGCTTCTTTCAAACACACTTACACACTCGTTAACTCACCGCCCTTTTTGACCGCCACACGATCAATCTTGGCGTAAAGATGCTGGTTGCTGCACGGCCTTCTTTTTTTTGGTGGCTGTGGCTCTTCGACGGTGAAATCGAAACTGTACGAAACTTTCGCTTTGGCTGGACGCGGCGGCACCTCAACTTTGTAACCATAATCATAGGGCATATAGTATTTCCTAGGCTTGGGCAAATTCGGCACATTCACGGAAAAGTCCAATTTCGTTGGGCAAGCACAGCCCTCACCCGTATAGATGACTTCGACCGGTACACAATGGGCCAAAGCAATCTATATTGTGTGTAATATGAATTGTGTAAGTTTTGAAAATTCACAAGAAAAAACGAAATACGAGAACAGTCCATTAGAAGTCCATTTGTTTGCAAAGTGATTTTTATTTATTATTATTTTATTTTCTTCGGTGTTGGTCTGCTTACCAAACCCAGGCAAAAGAACAGTGCAATCCACGCCAGTTTCGCGTGCAAACCCATTTTTCGTTTATTCTGCTGCTCTTCAATGTTACCGGAACTTTCACGTACTAACTGCTTGCCATCCGGTAAATTCATCTTTATATAAATCACAACTACTCGCCAAAGAAGAAATGGAAATGTCTTAAATCTTAAATCTATTTATTTAGTATATTGGAGTATGCGTTGTGTTTTTGACTTGAACGCGTCGCGTTTGTGACTTTAGGCATGTTGAATGTATGCTGAGTTTTGCTTCCAATTTCACTTGACCTTTTCCAGTCGCGCAATTTGTTGGCCAGCAGAGTTTTCACAAATCGCACGTTGTGTTGTGTGACGAAATAAAAAAAATCCAATATTAACTAAGACGAGATGTGAAATGCTGCACTTCATCTGTGCTCTTCTCACACAAAATCTTGTCGTTTTTGAGTTCAACGATTTCTTTCATATGCGCATACATACATATGTACGTGTATGCTTTGTTTAGAAATTGCGCTTTGCAGAAAAATTCGGAAGTCGACAGCTTTTAGCTGAGATGAGGTCTACACGCTTAGGGCACGCTTTCTTCAATGATATTCAACTGGTGGGAAATACAAGCGAAATATTTTTCAAAACTTATTTTTTCAAATGAAATAGTAAATAAATGCGAGCAATACCAACTGTGATTCTGAAAAAAAAAAAACACAATTAAGTGACTCTGCTTTTCATTTTAGTTTCATTCATGCCACGATTTTCCACCGCAAGCTACTTCAGCGTTAATTCTTAGCGAACTTGTGATAATAATAAAAGTAGTAAATAATTGGCGCTTTGTAGCCACATGCGATTTTCGGCCGAGCTCATCCCGCCTGCTCCAAATTTGTGGTGTGCGTCTTGTTTTTCAACAAATGGGGGGCCTACAGTTTATTCGTGGGCGCCTCCGAACGGCTGATAGTTTTAATGTAGAGCTTTGATTTTCGTGTGACAAGACAGACTCGATCCCTGCCCAGGGGCGATCGGAATTTAAAGAATTAATGTAATTTTTTATATAAACTAAAAATGCTATGATTGGATGTTAGCCGGAACAAAGCTCGAACCCTGGTCTCCAAAGAGCAAAAAGGCGGTTATCATACAAAAGAGCGCAAAAGCGCAATTTTTTTTTTTGGGTTGTGAATGGTCAACTGGCATTAGTAAGTCCAAGTGAAAAATACACCATAATGTGCTGTGGCAAAGTCCCAGCTCTTGAAAATGTCGAGAAATAAACACATTCAGGTCTTCGCCTGCATTTTCAATTACAGCAGCAATATTTGACGTTGAACGAGTAAAACGATTATCCACAGACCTTACAATATCTGTTAATGATCGACCCAGTCTCTTCAAAATTTCTTCGTAAATCTTACTAAGAACTTGGCCACGTTTGCACCACCAATTTTGTGGTAGGTTCTAACGGTTTTAATGCGCTTTAGCGTAAATGTTGTTTGAACAGACCTGCTATCATTGACCTTTGTAGATCAGTTTTTCAGCCTTTTAGTAATCTCATTTAGCTCACTTTGGAGTATCAGTGAAAGCTTGATTGGGAAGAAAAATCTGTTCAAAGACTGCAAGCACTTCCATGTTTTCAGTTATAATGGATAAATAGACTAATGGGTCGATATGATTGTATTTTATCGGCAGCTTAATCGGGCTCAGGGGTCATTATCACATGCTACACTTTGCATTGAGGAGAAACGAAACCCCCTTTTAAGTACTGCGTTAAAGAGGAAGGTTGAAAAAGTAATGACTTCATGACGTATTTGTTTTGAGAGGTATCCAGAATTATTTAGATTATAGCCAGCGGCCATTTTGGCTTTAAGTTTGTGTTGAACGCTTTATACTTCGTCTTTGGAGTATCTTTGTGTGAGCCGAGCCATTTGATGAGAATAGCTAAGTGTCTTATGTACTATAAATTCACCGGTAAATGTGGGGTGAATGCATTTCTTAGATAACGTGCGAATATGTTTGGCTGCTCCAATTCACTTGTAGTCCTTTTATTGTTCTCTATTATAATCCCTTCTTGTATATATACATATATTAGGTCAAGTAAAAATTTCGTTCGGTTTTTTTTTTTTTATTGATTTTTCAAAACATGAGAACTTTGTGTACATTTGTCCGATTTAAGTCAAATATGCGCCGTTTTGTTCGTAAACTTGTTGTCAAACGAGATGCCAACTTCATTATACCCCTCTTGTAGAAGGCTGCTTCGCTATTGGCAAAAAACTCGGAGAGCTAATTTTCACAGGCCTCTCTCGAGGCCAACTTCTCACCATTAAGCGCGTTCGCCATGGACAGGAAAAGATGATAATCACTTGATGCCAGGTCCGGATTATAAAAAGGGTGCATTAGGACCCCCATCCGAGCTCCTGGAGCTTCTGGCGCGTCACCAAAAGCACGTGTGGCCTGGCGTTGTCCTGATGGAACACAATTCGGCCTCTGTTGATCAAAGATGGCCTCTTCTGGATGGATGGATGAGTGCTGCCTTAGCAGTAGATGGCCGAATTGAGCGTTTGGCCATAGAGGAGCAGCTCGTAGTAGTTCCGTAGAGCTTCTTTTTGAATCCAAGGTTATGTAAATGGTTCCAAACGGTTTTCTGCCTCATCTTTAGTTCCTCAGTAATTAAATAAGTGCTCACGTCCCTGTCTGTTTCTATTATATCCATGATTTTATCGGAATTTTTGACGACAGGGTGTTCTAATGGAGTGGCATGAAAGCGTTCTGCCTCGATAGGGCCGATCCAGAAGGAGGGAGGATTGGTTGGTACGAGGTTAGTCGGCTTAAGTGGAAATTTTACAGTCGTGTGGCGCATATGGAGCAAATGTATGCGCATTGGGCATGTTTAGCAGGGGACATTGTCGCTAAGTTTATTTGTGCTTATACAGCTGTTGCACCCTTTATCGACTCTAAATAATATTTTTGATATTCAATTTAAACATTTGCCAAAAAGATATTAGGGCGATTCTCTTAGTCTAGGAAATGCATACTCATGCCCAGATTGCAAAGGTTGCAGTAGCACAACAACAAAACACATGCAAAAAAAAGTATGCCACGATACGAAAAATATTCTATAACCATAGTTTGTGAGACAAAATAAGCAGTTCTGTGTCCGCTAATGTTGTTGTTTGACTTTAATTCGGCATAATCATACAACACTCCGTTGTACAGTTCAGTTCTCAAATAAAATTTTGCTAAGAAATATTTGCAAAGCGCTCATATCCTAAACCAAGAGAATACCTCTATTATAGTAATACAAATGTTGAATAGTCTCGCGATTTTTTTTTGTTCAAAATTAACTTTATTCATCAACATATTCTCTTTCGAGAACCGTAGACCACACATTGAATCCAGCTACGCCCTGCACTTCACTCAAGGCAAATTTCGTACCTCCGAGCATATTTTAAAGTATGCGAATAGCCAGCAGTCGTTGCTTTCGTCGGCTTTCAAATGCTCCAATACATACAGCCTTGGCCAAAAATATTAGGTACCGCACTAAAATACAAGTATTCCCAAATGTGGCTATCAAAGTTACCACTTCTTTTTGTAAATGGCTTACATGGGGGTTTAACTATCGATTAAACGAATAAATTGTGTAATATTAAAAGTCAAAGTACTCTGGGTAAGCCGAACCTAAAAATTGTCATTTTCAAGAGATTCATAAAATATTTTCCCATTTAAAATTTTAAATTTGAAAGTGAAAGTGTAAATTACATTTAGTGAAAACTTACTAAATTTAAAAAAAAAAGTTCATATTTACCGAAAGCCTAAAAAAGTGAAATTAGTTACAATGATAGAGTTAGAATTCAAGTTCAAGTGAAGAAGACAAATCTCAGGTTTAGATTGCCAATTTGGCGGGATGTTCGCGGTGCGCGGTCCGACGTGCTCCCGTGCACGACTTATACGCGAGTCCGTCAGGGATCGCAAAAAATCTTCTTCTGCACCTGCAGCTGCCCTTTCGGATGAATTTAGTAAAATAGTTAGTGCTCAAACCGCTAGAAGAAGACTTCTGGAAGTAGGTGGCGCTCGGAAAAGAATAGGAAAAATCGTTTTTAATGGGCTTACCGATATCAACATTTCACGGAAGAAGATTGATCGAATGTTCTGGGGTCTAATGAATCAAAAATCGTCTTAAAGTATTAACAGCCATAGCTTCTTACCCTAGAGTAATTTTGAAGACATATACAAATCTTATGAAAACTACAATAATTTAGACGGGGTTCAATTTCAGCAAGACAATGCCCCTTGTCACAAATCAGCGACTACGATTCGTTGGCTTAGAGATAACAACATTGTTTTGTTAGATTGGCCTGCACAGTCTCCAGATCTTAATCCGATTGAGCACATGTAGGCTATTTTAAAACGCAAGATTAAAAAACACAGTATAACATCGAAAACTGCCTTAAAGAATGCCTTAATTAACGAGTGGTGCGCCATAAGTGCGGACGAATATGCAAAGCTTGTACGCAGCATGCCTAAGAGAATTGCTGCCGTTATTAAATCGAAGGGTGGACCTACAAAATATTAATGTTATTATCACTAATTCATTGTATTTTCACTGTTTTACTAATAAAACTTCATTACTTCACTTGTTAAAGCAAAAAAATTCAGCAATTAGTGGGGTGCCTAATACTTTTGGTCAAGGCTGTATACAATTGGCGCTTTGTAATGGCTGAAGCGAATTTGGTCGACCTCCGTCTCTGACTTGTGGTGCGCATCTAGATGGAGGGACCTACTGATTTAACTAAATAACTTCCGAACTGTCAATTGATTTTTATGAGAAGGTTTTATTTCATGTCAGGTGACATTCCCTGCCGAATGGGCGACTTCAGATAGACAACGCAACGCCTCATCGTTAAATTTTGATGTGTCTGTCTCTTCGGTTTCTGGCAGTTACATATCAAGTTTATTATACCATTTCATGTACACGAAAGGTGTTAAAACAATATTCTTTTGTTATTTAGTTCCTAAAAGTATGCTAAGCTATTTTTAAAAGTATAATTAAAACTGTTAACTTTGTATTTCTGTAATTAAATGTACGCTGTAAGAATTTTTTTTTGAGGCCTGTCGGCGTATGCTATGCCAACAACTCGTTGGACATAGGATAACGAAGTCCCTTCCTTTCTCAGTTATTTCTTCTATATATGTAAGTACAATTCAAATTTCTTGGCTGTTTGTTATTCAAAGGAGTTTACAAAATATGATATATCTATATATATATCTGCTTTTCTACTTTAGAAAAATTCTTCAATAAAAATACATGTAAAAAGGAAGGCATACAACTAAAAATTTTTTATTTTCCATTTTATTTATAAAAATGTAGAGCTAACAAACTTAGACTAAGAAAGTGTTTAGGGGCTTATAATAAATATGAATTACAGTGCAATGAAAAATCGCCTCTAATAAACACTAATAATAACCAGCTGGATCGTTGTCATTTTTCCGTTTTATATACGCGGCCACACGTCCTGGCTTATAACCACAATCCACAGTTACTCGATCTGGCAGAGGATAGGCTTCATGTGAGTAATAATCGTCGCCATAAACTGTGTGTACCTGCCGGAATTTGGGATTTTTAAATTTTTCCGTTACATAACCCAATTGTTGATAAGTGAGCTTCGGACTATCGACTGATTCCACAATATCCTCTGGTTCGTGTTCATATACTTCTTCAGAGACTGGCGTTGTTGTGTATTTGGGTTTCTTATATGTTATGACATCTTTTTTCAATTTAAATAGATTTTCCTCGGGTACATTAGAAAAGGTGATTTTTTTCATACTATCTTTTGGCTGCTGATTGAAACCAAAAGCTAATTTGGCCTCTGGCACAGTTATTGCTTTGGTAGCTTGTAGCGCCAGACTAATACTAATAGGATCAGCAGGTACGGTGTTGTCTGTGGGTTTCGCATAAGTGGCGCTAAAGAAAAAAAGAAGAAGAAGAAGACAAGAGAAAGTAAAAAAATTAGTTTTTAAAATTGAAAAATTATATTATTAATTTTAGTAAAAAAAGGTGCTAAAAGCTTGTGTTATCGATTATTTTACGGGATAAATTAAACGGTAAATTTAAGCGGTAACTGATTTCAATTTTCAACTATTTTTCCCGCGTTTCCATTAACTTTTTATTTGAGCAAGTGCAAGTATGGCAACACCACACTAATTTTAGCTGTTTTCGTTGAGAAATATCAGTTAAAACCTGCAAGTAACGAAATTGAGAGAGTAAGATTTTTAATTCTCCGAAATAAAGAAATTTACTGAGTTTTCAACGAATAGGATCCAGCAAAAATTAGCCAGACAGCTAATTATTTGGCGGCTAATTTTGAATTTGGTCATATCTGCAGTTTATTATATCTGGAATCGAAGCAAACGTTCCGTGAACGTATAAAACGTCACGTTAAATTTAAGTATTTGGCATTACGCCATACGTGAACGTGTACTCGTTATCGTAATTCGGTATGATGCGTTCGAAAAGGCCTTACGTTAAACAATATTTCGTTAAGAACTGTCATGCGATTACAAAATTATTTTCGTTAACAAGCAAGCAATAAAATTGTAAGTAATTTATTTTAAAATTTTTATAAAAAGTATTGCGGAATTAATAAAAAATATTATTTTGGCACAAATACTAATTAAATTAGCGCGGCACAAAAGGAGTTCATCACTGAATCCATGCCGTCATATTCAAATTTAGCAAAATACCTTTTGCCAAACTGCACTGGTCAAACAAACCAAATGCTTGGCCCGCCAGTTGAGGATATTAAAACGGGGAAGAAGCATACAAGCATAAATTTTCCTTTCATTCGAAATTTTTTTAACGTTATATTTTAGGTATACGCTGACCAAATGTACCAGGGGAAAAAAAACTCGCAAGTTTGCTTAATCGTCTCTTTAAAATTCGTTCAGCGACATCATTTCGATCGGAAGATAAGCAAAAAAGTTGAACGCCGGCCATAATTGCTTTTAGTTGACAAAATATTAAGCATTTGCGAACAGCTGATTTAAAATTGTAAGAAAATAATGTAAGAAATGAACATAAAATCGTTTACATATTCAAATAATAACGATGCGTTTGCTTTCGTATGGCATCACCTCAATAATTTTATACGATCTACGTATCACGGAATTTTCTTTCGCAGGAATGCCGATACGTTCACGGAACGCTCGATTCGATCCCTGATTTTAACTATTTTCCCAAATGTTTTAATGTAATTTGGTAATTATGTCAAATTTTGAAATTACTAATTGCATTAAAAATTGATTGTATTTCAACGATGATGAAATTATATAGCTTTATAGCCGTCCAACGATAAGGATATGAATACGTTCTTTCTAATAGTCCCCTAAAAGGACAGGGATTGATGTAGAACATGCTTTGCAACAATTGTCGCTTAGATTTTCAGTAAGGATGAATGAAATATAAAAATAAGTTCGAAATTCGATTCTGTGTAAATAAAAACCAAGCAAGAGCTTAATTTTTCCTTTAAAAGCCATTCCGTCGCTCATAAGCTGGGCGATGTGCGGGCGATGATTCGACTCCACTGCCACCACATTATCGTTTTCGAATGCCTTTACTATTGCTGGAATCATTGATATTGTTTAGTTAAATTGAAGAACACTACATTTGACCATTTATTTTGTATCGTATCGTATTAATGAATTAAAATTGTTTTATTTTTAAATAAATTTTGTTTTTTTTTGACAAAAATTCAATCATACAATCAGAAATCAACTGTTTTCATGTTTTTGTTGCTAGTTTTTACTTTTCTGTCCATTTACAGGCCTATTCTGTCGAAGTAATAAAATTTACTTTGGTATTAAAACTTACCATTCAGTAAATTTTGTTACTATTTCGTATTCTGAGTTCACTGTCACCCTGTGAATTTTGTTACCAGCGAAATAGGAGGTGACAAAAAAATCTGCTGTTTGATTTTGTGTTGTTAGTTTGAGAAAAAATAAAATGGGTAGGCATATTTTAGTCGTGGAATTCATTGAAGATGAAGAAAAAAGTGCAAAAAGCCATACCCCTTTAATATGTAAGATATCGTTTTCATACAGCTTTTTTTTGTTGTCCAGGCATATTTTCCATAACTAGGTTCAAATATTTATGATTTAATAAACAAATAAATAAAACTTATTATTTTGCAGTGCACCGTCTTCCATTTCGATGTGAATATTCTTCTATTTTACTTTACCAACTTGCAAATGTAATTTGGCAAGGACGAAAAAAGCAGTGCTGCCAAAGTTTTTGCAAACATTGTAACCAGTTCGCCAGAATACCAAATTCGATTTTCGGTAACAAAATTTACTTTACCGGTAACAGTGAGAATGGACCTGCTAGTCAAGGAACAAATCTACAGCTGATTTTCTATAGCAACTCTATAATTGTTTATTTTGATTTAAATTTTAATTTTAATCAACTGAAAAGCATAGTCATATTACTAACGAAATGAAATCAATTTGAACTTAAATCACGTCTAGTGAAACGGAATTTTTTTAATTTTTTGTGTGGTAGTTAAAATAAATTAGTGTTTCGACTTACTCAGGAAGCGGATATGCAGCATATGAATGCGCAGACGAACAGCCACATGATTTTGAAGTATATGGAATTGGTGGTGGTGGTGGCATTGGCGCTGGTGTATAAACGCTACCACTTTTTACGGCTTCATAGCCGTCATGTGGTGTTGGATAATGACTGCTAGACGGCGGTGATGATCCACATTTGCATGTTGAACATTTCGTTGAGGGCTTCTATTGGTTTGGTCGCAGAATAGTTAAAAAGAGAATGTTATTACTAGTCAAAAACAAAAAGGTAAATCAAAATAAAGCGCGCCAGACGCGTGCAAATGATAAGCTGGTGAGCTGAACCACGGGTTGAGCTGAGATATTTGTTGACATGAAGTGCACGTTCAACGAAAATAATGATGATTTCGATGTTTGTTTGTTGTATGTTGATATGGTAGTACACAGTGATCATGATGTCGACACGAAATGCAAGAGAATGACGCATTGAAATGTGGAAAAAATGCAGAGTTGCATGAATACATGTTTGTATGTATGTATCGTAGGTATTAAGATGACAATTAGTTACTTGACTTATACTGCAAATAAGAACTTCTTTATTTTTTTTAGTAATATGCATAAAAATGTATGTGATATGATGGTCGTACAAATATTTACTGTTCGTTACTATTTAATTACATGCTGTTCAATTAACTCAAGTGCTCATGGGTAAATATTCTGTTTCGATATTTTCTAGATTAGTAAGACGTTTATGTAGACGATTAATGCACGCTTGGTTGGTGTTAATCATAGCTTCTAGTGTTTTGCGTTTTAGTAAATTATGCCAATTCCAAAACCATTGAAAGTTATCACGTACTTTATGTGGACAGGCTTTGGGCTTTGGCAATGCAGCTGGTTCTACGAACACCTTGTTGCAGGAACAGGTATCACCGATGGGTGTCAGGTCAATGCCATGATTCGGATAGCCGTGACGTTGTTTTGGGCGAACAAATATCGTCTCTTTGCATTTGGAACAGTTGTCTTTGCCCTTCTCGTGACACACACAACCGGCGTTTACCTGCGTAGAGGGACATTTTTTTTAGTTTAATTACAATATTTTTAAAATTTATTATTATAATTTATGCTATGCATGTTTTTATTATCTATTTTTTAATAATCTTTATGTTTAAAATTTTTTATTTTCTAACCACATATACCGTTAGAGATTTGTTTGAATTTTTTTAGTGCACTTTTTTGTTTTTGTTTTATAGAGTTATTAGTTTTTATTATTTTTCAATCTTTTCGTACTTTTTTTTATCCTTTTTTGAAGTTCCCTTAATTTTTTTTCAATTCCAATGCTTTTATATTTTTTTTTACAATTTTTGATTTCCATTTTTTATTTTATTTTTTTTTTTTTAAATAATTTTTTATTTTTTAACATTTCTCATTATATATATGTATAAACATTTTTTAACAACCAGGCTCTTAAAAAAAAGTTTCTCATTCTTATATTTAGTAACACTCACCGAAAAAATGCACCAACAAATTAGCAAAAGCGCGTAGCATAGAATTTTTGGTGACATTTTAGTATTCACCACTCACCACAGAACTTTGTTTCACAAATTAATTTACTTTAATTATTTTCACTTAATAATTTTTTTTTTTCGTATACACTCCACAGTGAAGCTTCTTATTGCCGATGTTTCATAGTTTACCGTTGCAGCGTCTTTAAAACTGATGAAAAAGTAATTCTTGTTTATATATTATAGCATTTATTTCTTGATATCATCCACCATTCAGTGTTTTCGCTTCGTGCAAAATTGCGTGCTTTGAATTCTCGTTAAATTAGATAAAACTTCGCTGTTAAGTTGTCTTTGGTGTAGCCTAAGCTCAATGCAATGAAGGTGAGCGGCAATAGCGATTCGTGGATTTGACGTTGAGGAAAGTTTTTGGTTGTTTGTTGTGGGGTGACTTTGTAAACAAATTAAAGCATCAACAAATATTATTAATATTGTTTTGTTGCAAGGTGAAATTGAGTCGATTGAAAAGGGAAAGTTTTTATTTTCAACCGACGAATGAATGAAGCTTCCCAATTCATCGCGTATCTATCTTTTGTTATGTATGACCATGTATACTTTTTTAGCGTGTGCTCCGATTTTGATAAATATCTTTTAGTAGAAAGGGTCTATCTTGAAATTGTGTTAAGTGTATATGTATATTTGAAACCCTTACCCTAAAAGACTGACGGATGAACCAACAACTTGAACTACTAAACTTCGAAACACGGAGCTTGTAGGATGAGTTCTGCGTATAACTTAGGCATCCGATAAGAAATGATTTTCGGGGAAATGAATCTCAGGGGCCGATAAAATAATTGAAATCGTCGAGTCTGGCCGTCATCCGAGCACTGTTTCGATTGACTAGGAGCCAAATATTGCATAAAAATAGTTTGGAACCACTTGAAAAGAGCTGAATGCTCAAAGAAGCCTGATATATTTATGAAAAAACCTCATGAAACGAATTGTCATCTGCGAATCGCTGCTGAATCGCAACAAAATCGATCCATGTCTGAAGCTAATAGTGACTGATGATAAAAAGTGCATCACCTACAGTAAGGTCAAATGATAAAGGTCATCGTCGAGGAGCAGTGAGCCAGCAGAAACGGTCTCCAAGCCAGGATTGGGGACTAGTTGGGTTTTTTTGTGTGTTTGGTGAGATTTGCAACGAATCATCCACTATGAGCTTATACCCTACAGTCAAACTCTTGATTCGGATCTATACTATCAGCAATTGAACCGTCTGAAGGAAGCAATCGTCAAAAAGCGCCAAACAGTAGGGGAATTGTGTTTCATCAGTACAACGCCAAATCACACATATCGATAGTAGCTCGCCAGGAAATCCGATAGCTTGGTTGGGAGGTTCTTATGCATCCATGCTATAGTTCGGACTTCTTACCAAGTGATTGTCTTATCTGTTCATGTATAAGTCTGTTAAAATTGATTGTCCCAATGTTTTACCAATAGTCTGTTGCATTCGGTGTAGACGTTCTCAAGCTATAAAGTAACACCATATTTATATATATATTATATTATGTTGTATAAAAAAAATTGCGTCGCGTGACCAGAGTCAATGAGGGATGCTCTGTATAATCGTAAGACATAAAATCCAATCCTTATTTTCATACATTTTTACGTCATGTTTATTTAAATTTTTAATTTTTTTATATTTTTTTAAATTTTTTAAATATTTTTTTTTTCAATTTGTTTTTAATTTGTTTTTATTTTTCTAAAATTAATTTATATTAAAAAAATTTTTTTTATTTTTTTATTGTTTTAATTTATTAATTTTTTTAATTGTAATTTTTTTTTTAATTGTTTTTAATTTTTTTAAATCATTTTTTCGATTTGTTTTTTTTTATGTTGTTTAATTCTTTAAGCTTTTTCCTAAAATTTTGTTTTCAATTTTTTAAATCTTTTCTTCGATTTGTTTTTAATTTTTTTTTTTAATTCTTTAAGCTTTTAATTTTTTTTATTATTTTAATTTGTTTTTAATTTTTTTTAAATTTTTTTTTTAATTTTTTTAAATTTATTTTATTTATTTTTTTTTTATTTTTTTCAAATTGTTTTTCATTTTCTTAAATTTGTTTTTAATTTTTTTATTTAAAAATTTTTTTTGCAGTACTCTTACCTGATTTTTGAGGTGCTTCGATTTCTTGTCCACTCTGAAGAAACCGAAAGAAAGAATAATTGCAAAAAAACAATTAAAATTGGTCATTGATCACCTCTTTGATTACTACATGAGTACGCTGTCAAAGATAACATGATACGAAACTCTTTATCTCGCGGGAACGCTATAAAAACCAAAATTTTTTTATAACGTTTTCCATTTTTTTTCCAAAAGTGCCACTTCGATGAAAAAGTTTCTTTTTGAGATTTTCGGGGAATGTTTTTGGCCTTTTTGCGCTAACATTTTTGATCATTTACAGCTATATTTTGCTACAGCACATATGAATAATACTTTTTCTTAACATTTTAACATACAAAGTTGGCCTGCCTAATTAAAAATTTATTGATAACATGAATTGCTTTTCTGACGAAAAACGCCGCGTTTCATAATTGACTAAGTGGTCCTGAGGCGTCTTAACGATCAGCTGTTCAAAGTTCCTTCATTTGACTTTGTTACCAGTCCAGAAAAAATATTCTAGAAACGCATTCATCTGCAATTTGTGAGAGTTTCGTATCATGTTATCTTTGACGCTGCGTTCTTTACGGGTACACCTAGTGTGAAATTTCAAAATAAAACGATATTTTTTCATATTACACTTTTAAAAATAACTTTTAAAAATAACATACTAAAATTTCAAATCGATATCTCAAATAGTTTTTGAGTTATAGCAATTTAAAAAGCAGCCGCTCGGCAGCTAGAGAGTCTCATTAGCTACGAGTGAAAACGATCATTTTATCTTTAAACGCGTTTTTCCCGAAACAGAATTTTTCTGAATTTACTGCAGTGATTACTCAAAAACAAATGATCTGGCAACTATCGAATTTTTTTTACATATTCTATATATAGTTCTCCGTACAATGACATAACGATTTATGATCTGATCAAAAAAATCGAATTTTGGCAGGCCAAACATTGATATCGTATTTTTCTTTAATAAAAATTCCCAAAAATCACCTTTTTTTAGGCCATTACACTAGGTGTGCCCTTTACAGTGTGAGTCGCCGTATTTTTTCAGTATATGAAATAACTTTGGTACAAGGTTCATATGTATGTAAGTACCTAAAGAAGAAGAAAACTTCACATGCATGGCTGAAGCCAGCTCAGCTCGTCTTTCTTGTTTCGTAGTAATTTCGATTTAACTCTCATCTCGTCAAGCTCTTCGTACTCACGCATTTCAGTCTCCTTCTTTTGCACTCTAGAAATGCGTTACGCGTGTTTCGTTAACTCTTGGTATTTCACCCATTCGACACATGTCGCGGTTGTTTGTAACGTTGCGAAATGTGCACTCTGAAAAAGAATATTCCTGCGGTTAACAAAATATTTAGATTTAAAGTAGAAAGCATATTCAGCTAATAAATGAATTTCGTAAATAATTTCAATCCGAGTAGTCGTCGATTGATTGCCGCACACTTTAATGACACGTCTTATTATAAAATTACAACATCGATTGAAATCTTCTGATAAGCATATATGTAAATATTTATATATAGAAATTAATCTTTAATGTGTAGAAAAAAATATATGTATGTATATATATTATATATATGAAACTTGTGTTATACACGTGTGTGGGATTAATTGATTAATTAATGACCTTTATGAACGGCTAGTGGTTTTCCGAATATTTTGAATGTTGTTAAACAGAAGCCTGAAAAGCAGACGGGATTGATTAACTAAACTAGGTACATTCATAGCTGAAGTTCCGCTAATTTTTCGTTCACTTTTTTTGCTCCACAATGGCCTTAATAAAAGAGCTAAAAACAGCGAAAAACTGCTAGAGAAAGCAATGACAGTGACTTTTTATGGTTGTAATTATTAGTGGATTATTCTTACTCCAAATGCGACAATTTTGTCTTGTGAAACTTGCGATCGGTGTCCATTCTATTTTGGACCCATTCAGTGAACGTGCAACGAGCTTAATGGTCATTCGGCGCTGCGAATGCGATGACTGTTTGTTTGATGACAGGAGACATTTCGTCTTGTCCTCGTTCACTACCAGACCCATTCGCGTCGCTTGTTTATCAAGTCTGGAGAGAGCAGAAATAACGGCGCCGTTGTTGAGGGCAATAATGTCAATATCATCGGCGTACGCCGATCTATTCAGCTCTGCAGCTTTTATTATTCTCTTCAGCATCAAATTGAATAAATCACACGGCAAAGAGTCATCCTGTCTGAAACCTCGTTTGGTCGGAGAGGTCCTTCCCGATTCTGACTGTGCTTCTGATGTTGTCTAGCGTCAGCTCACACAGCCGTATAAGTTTTGCTGGGATACCAAATTCAGACATAGCCCCTATTCGTGCTTTAAAATCGACGAAGAGGTGTCGTGTGACGATCTTCTTTTCACGGGTCTTTTTCAAGATGTGGCGCTTGGTGAATATCTGGTCAATGGTTGACCTACCGGGTCTGAAGCCACACTGATAAGGTCCAATCAGTTTGTTGACGGTGGGGTTCAGTCTTTCACGCAATACGCTCGGCAGTTCCTTATATGCGATGTTAATTAAGCTTACTTCGACATGGTCAGGTAGCGGAACGTCTGTTCCATCGTCATCGATTGGGATTTCGGGTTCACCATCTCCAAGTGTTTCATTTTCAATGCCGTTCAGCAGGTTGGAGAAGTGTTCCCTCCATAAATTCAGTATACTCTGGGCGTCCGTTACTAGATCACCATTCTGGGTTCTAAAAGAGTTTGCTTCTTACGTAAGCCGCCGTATCTTCTCATACAATTTTTGAGCATTACCCTTGTCGGCCAGCTTCTCAAGCTCTTCGTACTCACGCATTTCGGTCTCTTTCTTTTTTGTCTGCAAATGCGTCTTGCTCTTGGTATCTATCCCAGCCCGCACGTATTGTGGTCTTTTTTCTCTTCACTGCAGTTCGACATTCCTCATCGTTCCAGCTTTTTTTCTGGTACTGCCAAAAACAAAATGTTTTCAGTGAGTTTGAGATGCCGTTCCAAAGTTCCCTTATATCAAGGTGCTGATGAGTGCTCTAAGAAGCTTTTCGACGTCGAACCTTCCTTGTGTTTGTTGACGGATGTTTTTTGATATACAATATAAAGGCGTGTGCGTATCCTCGCTGCAACAAGATAGTGATCCGAGTCGATGTTGGGTCGTCGAAGTGTGCGCACGTCAAGAACTCTAGAGACATGTCTTCCGTCTATCATAACATGATCGATTTGGTTTTGCGTCTTTCGATCGGGGGACAGCCAAGTAGCTTGGTGTTTTTTTTTCTATGCTGGAATCTAGTGCTACAGACAACCATATTTCGGGCTCCGGCGAAGTCGATTAGCCTCAATTCATTTGGGGATGTTTCATCGCGGAGGCTGAATTTTCCGATCGTTGTGCCGCAGATGCCTTCTTTGCCCACCCTGGCGTTGAAGTCGCCAAGCACAATTTTGACATCGTCCTTCTCTTCACCCGGGGTGTGGGCGCAAATCAACGATGTGTTGAAAAATTTCTCTTTGAATGCCAGTACTCGGCGACGTAACCTTTCTCCCACCACAAATCCGACACCAAATTTTTGCTTCTTTATATGGCCGTTGTAATAAATTTCACAAGGACCCACTTTCATGCATCCTTGTCCTTTTCATCGTATTTCTTGTGCGGTGGTAATCTCAGCCTTTAATTTTATGAGGAAATCAACCAGCTGTAAGCGGTACCTTCCCAATTAAGGCACCGGACATTCCAGGTGCATGCCCTCAAACCATAATCCTTGAAACATTTGCGGGGGTCTCTCTTCCGAGGCATAATGTAATTTTTCATTAGAGTTTATTTTTCATGCGGTGGGTGCCAAGCTCTACGCACAACCGCATGGGATTCGCCCTCTCACTTTAGCTCGCCTCAAAACGGATGTTGGTTGACTACCCAGGGGATACTTGGTCTAAGGCTGGAAGTAGTGAGCTGCTTGAACCAGGTAAATGGCAGTCAAAAACTTTCATCATCTTCGTGAACTTCTACACACGGCCCCATCCCCATCTGTATATAGAGTTGACTACATTAAATTTAATTATCCACGCTTATTATACATATCTATTATTAAGCTTGAAGTGTGCACCTATTGCTCTGTACAAAATTCAATCTTGGAAATGTACGTAAGTCATTGAAAGAAAGACGACAAATAATAGTTACGATTTATCAGCATTTTCTACGTATTCAACTAAATTGCCCATTTGCCTTCTGATTGGCTGTGAGCCTACAGAATATTCTACTTTAAATAGCTAGTGATAAGTAACGATCAATGTTAGTTCTAATCAAGTCGTGATCTCCAAGATACCCACACGTTCTAAAAGCTTCCTACTCAAAGGACTCATAAAGTGCGAAAAATAACAAAGTGAACACAATATAAATATATATGTACATATAAATCTCAAAAGTAAAACACACACAAACAACCATGACGTCATTGAGGCAGGATTTATCAAAACGCACCTTCTTCGTCCTAAGCGGTGTTACCAACGTGTTGAGCAAGCCGTTGGCCATCGAAATCTGTCGCAATTTAAGCAGTGGCTCTGTCGTTGTACTCATTGATTTGCATGAAGAAAGTATGCAGGAAATTAAGAAAGAAATTGAATTGCTTGAACGTGATGTTAAAGTGTTTTGCACGCCTATTCAGACATGGAAGGACACCAATCGTACACGTTTTCAACAAATACTCAACGCAATCCTAAACAAATACAATAGTTCGGGTTGCAACTTTGAGCTCGCATTTATTTTACACAACGAAGGAACCATGGCAACTGATGACTTAATGGAGCCGTCTGCAACTGACGAATGGTTATCTTATGTAGAGCAACATCTCCATGCACCAGTTGCACTTAATCGGGCTTTCCTGCATGCGCCACAATTTTCAAAGATCACAAAACTCGTTGTTAATATCACATCCAGCTTGATGATTCGTCCATCCGTTTACAATACGATGATGTGCTCTTGCTTGAGCGCACGTGATATGTATTTCCGTGCCATGGCTAATAAGGAGCATGGTAGTGGTGTTAATGTGTTAAGTTATTCACCGGGTATTTTGAAAACGCACAAACCTCAGCGAGACTCAAACCAAAATGTGATTGACTTATTGCACTTGGATGTTGAACGGAGGCTACTGGGGTTGCCGCGTGTCGGCTTAAAGGAAACTTCACTCAAATTGATAAATATACTCCGGGAGACATCATTTATTTCTGGCCAGGATGTGGATTACTACGACACATTCTTCATATGAGGAATGCTAACGCGATATTACCGTGAATTCGTTTTTGCTTGGAGTTATGCGTGATATTTTTTGCACTTCAATTTATTTGTTGTTTGAGCAACGTTGTTGATGACTGAAATTATTTATGAAAATTTATATAAGAAATAAAAATGAAGTTGGAGGGGAAACAAATCTTGAGGTTTATTGTTTAATATAATTTATATATAAATAATTTTTAAGTATAAAAAAAGAAAACTTAAAGCTGATTTTTTAATATATTTTATAATAATTATTTACCTCTTCTTACCTCATCTCAATCTTCTTAAAAAATAGAATTTTCTGCTCTTATGCAAGCCTGAAATACAAGAACAACCCTTGTTCTACTCAAGTTTTCCAAATATGCTCACTCGTCCACTTGGCGCAAAATAAGTATAAATTTTTTCAAGTTTGAACAAATAACTTTGACTAAGACCAGGTTGATCTAGAAATTAAAAAAAAGGAAATTTTTTTTGGGTAAGTTGCTAGAAAATACTCTTTGAAATAATATACAAGTAAAAAGTTCGTTCGGTTTTTTGTTGATTTTTTAAAATATGAGAACTTTGTGTACATTTGTCCGGTTTAAGTCAAATATGCGCCGTTTTGTTGGTAAAATTGTTTCCAACGAGATGCCAACTCCATTATACCCCTCTCGTAGGAAGCTGCGTGCCTATTGGCAAAAAATTCGGAGAGCCAATTTTCACAGGCCTCTCTCGAAGCCAACTTTTCACCATTAAGCGCGTTCGCCATAGACAGGAAAAGATGGTAATCACTTGGTGCCAGGATCGGGCTAAAAGGTGTGTGCATTAGGACCTCCCATCCGAGCTTTTGGCGCGTCACCAAAGACGTGTGTGGCCAGGCGTTGTCCTGATGGAACACAATTCGGCCTCTGTTAATCAAAGATGACCTCTTCCGGATGAGTGCTGCCTTCAAGCGGTCCATTTGTTCGCAGTAGAGGGCTGAATTAAACATTCGGCCATAGGGGAGCAGCTAGTCGTAAATGATTGCTTACCAATCCCACTAAACACACAGCGAAACCTCCCTGGCCGTCAATCCGGTCTTGGCCACCAACTGGACCGCTTCGCCGAGCTTTGACCACAACCGTTTGCGCTCGATGTTGTCGTAAGTGACTCATTTTTCATCGCCAGTCACGATCCGCTTGAGAAACGGGTCGATTTTGTTGCGATTCATCTGCGATTCGCAGATGGAAATTCGGTCCATCATGTTTTTTCGCGTTAGTTCGTGTGGCACCTAAACATCGAGCTTCTTTTTGAAGGTTATGCAAATGGTTCGAAACGGTTTTTTGGCTGATCTTTAGTGCTCACGTGATGTTCTGTTTCCACTATTTCCATGAGTTTAACGCAATTTTCGAAGACAGACCTCCCGACGCAGGTCATTCTCTATTTGGTCTTTCCAACGGAGTGGAGGTCTTCCCCTTCCTCTGCTTCCACCGGCGGGTACTGCATTCAAAACTTTCAGAGCTGGAATATTCGCATCCATCCGAGACACATGACCTAGCCAGCGTAGCCGCTGCTTCTTGATTTGCTGATTTATATTAATGTCGCCGTATAACTCGTACAGCTCATCGTTCCATCCGTTTGAAATATCAGGTGGCTGCACTTGGTATTCACAATTACCGTCAAACGCGTAAGCGATGTTTATGCCAGTAAGGAGGAAGAAGTAATTTCGGAGTTTTGAAAATCATTACTTTGGACGCCTACTTTTTACACAGATCTTTTCCGCCAAGTTCCAGGTCTCTAGATCAGTGATTTAGGTTATGGATTGATCCGTTAGTTCTTCAGGTAAAATAATTCTATATAAATACAATGACTATTCTAAGCTGTCTTCGTACGGCTGATGGATCCTTAGGAGGGACTTTTTATTTCCTTTCAGAAATATAGTAGAATGGGTGATATTCCCTTTCTAGGGCCGACAGCAATTCTAACAAATAATTTTCCATACTTTTTGGTGCTGTTTGGAATAGGACTCTATCCCCGATCTTCTGAATGATAGTACGCACTGGCCACCATCGCTTGCATGTATATATTGCAGTAGAGAATTGCGAAACGGTGAAAAATTGAATGTTGGACAACATTTTGCTTAACATCACTACGGTTCGCCTCGACTACTTTCTATGTGTACCTTCTCATATAAGCACATAGGCCGTCGAACATATGGTCTGACTGTTTATTTGATGATAGGAGATATTTTGTCTTGTCCTTCACTATCAGAACCATTTGCTTCTCTTCTCTATCCAGGTTGGAGAAAGCAGAACTATTGGCTTAGATGTAAGCTCTTACAGAAGATTGTACGATCTCTATGTAGTAGTAGCTCGTATTATTTTCTTTCACAATAAATGAAGGCTCGATGAGGTCTGCACCGATTTCGACTGGGGGTTTCGGTGTTGCTCAGCGTCATTACATCGTCCAAGTACGTGTTTTGAGAAGTCAAATACAGACATCGTAAAGGCAGCTACTTTTTGTGCTGTCGAAAGCTGCTTTAAAATCGACGAAGCGGTGATGAGGGCCGATCCGCTTTCCACGGGTCTTTTCCAAGACTTGGCGCATGATGAATATCTGGTCAGATTTTGCTGGTCTGAAATAACAACTAATAAAATTCAATAAGTTTCAGACGATACGCTTAAAAAGACATTATCCCCATATTTTACAAAGCAGCTGATGCATGTTCTTTATCAGTTCTTCGCTTTTGAAATTAAGGCTTTTGAAATTCAGATTGACCATTTCCAGATGTTTTTCTTTTGCTGCCATTCAAAAGAGTGGAGAAGGTTTCTGTTATAAACTCACTAAACTCGTACTCTGGGCATCGGCTACTAGATCACCTTTTTAGATCCTGAATGAGTATGCATCGGTTTGAAACCTTGTGTAGGGACCACCCGATAGTTGAACTCAGGCCATAGGGATGACAGGAAGATCATGTTGGAGAGACTTTTTACGGCAATATTGAGGAAAAGGTTTTGGGGTTTCTTCAAGAAACATGACAGAACCTAGACTACTTCTGAAAAAGAAACAAAATAATTATTTTACTTCGAGATATTCACTTGCTTGACACTTTCTATGAATACAGCTCACCTGGCAAGGACTGTCGATCTATCCACTACGGTCCAAATGGTAATAAATAAAATTAATATTCTATAATTATTGTTTTATTTTTGAAGTTAGTTTGTTAGGACCAGTACTTGAACCCTGGGCTTCCGTATGCCTGTACGAAATGCTAACCATTCGGCTATCCATCCGCGGATTTTATAAACCAATGGCTAATAAGCCGGGATATAACCGTGAGCCGGAAGGATTCTAAGTATACAGGTACGGATTTATCTTAACCTCTCAGTAAACTCGCTGGAATGGGATGGCGGCAGAAGTATTGCCTAAGCCGTTGTTATAGCATACAGAGCCAAATTCCCACTAATTCTTTTGTGACTTGATGCTGAGATCAGAGGTATCCAACGCGAGCAAATTGGTCAGCTGTAAATTATGTTTCAAATTTCAAAATTCAAATTCGAAAATTCAAAAACATTCTAAGTTTCAAAGATTTGCGTTGATGTGAATCAGTGGCACACTTCATTTAATGGAGTCAAATCCGTTAATCAGTCAGCTATTGGAACACTCAAAGACTTGACTAAAAGCCAAGTTATACAGTTCGATGAGATCCATTTACATTCACTGAAAATTACTTTGGAACATGAATTCCCAACAGCTAAAAATGAAAGGATAATTTCCACACTCCGGCTGGCAGCCTGGAAATATACACAGATGGATCAAAGCTTGAGTGGAGAGTCAGCGCAGGTGTTTTTTTAAGGAATGCTCTTATAGAACTTTTTTCAGACTAAGTTCCAATTTCAGCCAGCTCTTAAGATGAGGATATTTTTATTTTCAACGACAGTTAGAGCGCTATAAAGAGACTGTCGCAGATCTCTATAGGATATTGGCAAACAGAATGGTCTGTCTCTCACGTGGGTCTCAGGATGAACATGCTAGGCAAGATTCTTCTCGATAAAGAACGCATTGGTATACCTTCTGACACTTGCAAGCAGCTTATCAAATAGTTTACATTCAATGTAAATTGAAATTATATCCTACCGCGAATTCAGGCACACCCGCCAAGAGGGACAAGAAGAAATCACAGGATATGCACTCCTTAAGAGGAAGGACAAATCCAAAGTATAAGGAGACCTGACAGGTCACTCTCTGATGGGACGAAATGCGGAGAGACTAGGGGTGCCCTATATAAGATGTTGCAGAAGCCACAAGGATGATAATGAGAAAGAATCGGTTACCCATCTCTTCATCTTAGGTGATTGTCCTGCTTTGGGCTGTGTTTGGTTGCGAAATTTTGGAACCCAAGTGCTGGATGGTCTACCATAGATAGCCCACAATTGGTCTTAGTCAGCCCTAAGTGTAATCAATGTGATAGATTTGTAGCCATCACTACCTAACCTCACCTACATAAATCCAATTTCCTCTTTAATCCAATTCATGAAACTAAATGCTCAACTTGTTAGGCTTTCATAACTCTTCTACGAAAATCTCTAGTAGTTTCGTTGATACTTATGTAAAAGTAGTCATGAGACATGCGTAATGGATGGAAGTGTGCCGACCCAAGCCATAACATGCGACCCACATAGGTACATACACTTACAATACATATGAGATAAGTATAAGCATTTAGCCGTCTAACTAAGAAAAGCTCATGTGTCATTAAATATTGCACGCCAGTCGTTCAGAAGTGGCTCAGAATGAGAAACGCGTCACAAGCTGCAGAAAGTACACGGCCTAAAATCACTTTATCGGCTACAAAGCGCTATTTATATATATATATAAATTCTAAATTTATCCTCTTTCCCAAACTATAGCTAAAACTTGTCGCGCATTCCTGAAACCCCATACAAGTTGATATAATAAAACAACAACAAATTTTCTTTTTCATCTTCGTTTTCGCCATCTTCGATGTCTGCCGAGAGAATTTCTTGTATAATTTTATTTTTGTAATATTCAGCGTATTCATTAGCAAAATCAGCATCAGCCAGCCGGGTCAACAATTCAGCAAAAAGTTTTAATGAAATATTACCACACATTACTCCATGAGCAACGAATGCGAGATAATATTTCATTAGTGCTCCTCATAAGTTGAAGGTGTCATAGTAGTCGACGTCATGTCCCGAAATAAAGGACATTTCCTGCAGAATGTTAATCAGTTTAAGCGAAGACTGCTTGGCACTAACACGCGGCAGCTTCAGCAATTTTTCTTCGACCTTCAAATCCAATAAATCGACCAAATTGTTATTCAAATCCAATTGTGGCTTGTGGGTCTCCAAAATACCCGGCGAATAACTGACAACATTCACACCGTTGCGATTCTCTGCATTGGCCATGGCACGGAAGTACATATCACGTGCGCTCAAGCAAGAGCACATCATTGAATCGTACACGAATGGCCGGATCATCAGGCTGGATGTGATGTTAATAACCAATTTTGTGGTCTTCGACAGTTGTGGCGCTTTAAGGAAAGCCTGATTGAGCGCAACGGGTGCATTGAGGTGTTCATCTACAAAGGCTAACCAATCGTCGGCAGTTTCTGGTTCCATTAATTTGTCAGTAGCCAAATTTCCCTCATTGTGTAGTATAAAAGCGAGTTCAAAGTCACACTTGACGGCGCTGTACTTTTCAAATATGGCGGCGAGTAGCTGACGGAAGTGCACGCCATAGGTTTCTTGCCACGCCTTCACGGGCCAACAAATGACATTGATATCACGTTCGAGAAATTCAATTTCTTTCTTCACTTCTTGCATATTTTCTTCAGACACGTCGATGAGTAAGACTACGGAGCCGGCACTGTATACACGACACATTTCGATGGCCAATGTCTTGCCCAAAACATTGGTTACACCGCTAAGGACGAAGAAGGTGCGTTTAGCTAAATCCTGTCTCATGGAGGACATGATTCTTTTTGGTTATTGTTTTTTTATTGGCTATAAGAAATTTCTGTTTCTTAGCACTTTCACTTTTTTTTTTTTTTATTTGATCACCACTTTATTTGTGTGTATTTAAGTCCTTAGTTGAGGTTCTTTTTTTTCGAAGAAGATTTCTTTTTATTTTAAAGTCAATAAGTTAAGTTGTTCGACCACCGTAGACTGCACAGTTGAACTGAGATTGAGCGTAGGGCGTCTCAAGCTTTTTAAACTACGCGAGTCTCGGTTACAGACAACTAAGCCGAAGGCTCATATCAGCTGTAGACAACGGCATCGTGTTGCTGAGCAAGTAATTCTCGTGGCTAGTAATAAGCGGTATTCGGCTGGCTGATAAGCATTTTGAAATCGGGCTAGAGGCTGAGGTCCGTGTTTGTTCATTGATTTGTCAATACGTAATAATTATGAACAATATCTACGTATATTCGAATTATAGGTATGTAAAGAATTACATCTAGTATGTACATACATACATATAAATGTATTTGATGGCGGGGTTTTTTTTTTACTTAATATGCAACCCTAGCATAATTTTAAAATTACTACTCACAAAGAAATATGTAAATTTAATGCTTTTTATAAGCGAAATAGTTTCGACTCTGTATTCTTCTTCTTCATTGGCGTACGCACCGCTTACCCGAATATATGTATTTACGCGCCATTCGTTTGGCACCAACTGGAAATACCAACGAAGAAGATTATTGCTTTATTTTTTCTTTAGCGTCGATTTTTTATGTGCTGAGCCCCGATTACAGGGGGTTCGGTTTCTCGCTCAGCTTAGCTCACTTCCAAGCGGATGTTTTTTGGCTGACCAGCGGATACTTGGTCTAACACAGAAAGTCGTGAGCTGTTTGTTGCTTATGTAAAAAAGTTCTTTCTGACTACTTCCAGGTGAATGGGAGTCAAAAGCTTTCTCCACTTCTACACATGACTCCTGTATTATTAAGGGTTGCTCCTCCATCGTTTGCTTTTTGAAGTATGGATTATTTGAGCTTTGTCATTTTCAATGACATTTCATTTTGTGTCAAATATTCCATATTGAAAACCTGCTTCCAAAAAGGTGAACCCTCCACCGCAACTGCAAAAAATTGCCCGACTTCCAGGCAGTTTGCGGATCATTTCGATCCAACCGAGTTGTTATTGGCCAGTGCTTGCAGGGGGAAAATGTTTGCGCAGAATTTTATATACGGTCTCGGTATGAAGATTTTTAAAGCCCAATTTGTTCCAGCACTGCAGCCAACCAATTGCTTCGCTAAAAATCACTCTACACATAATCATGGAAAAACCAATGCATCCTCGACAAGTGAATTAAGAAATCGGACATTCTTGGTATATGTCACTAAATTATAGTCCTTAAATCTTTTGCATTGTTCATAGCAAAAGTGGAGGTTCTTAGCCGAGTCATTGCTAACTTTTCATTGGAATCGGTTTCTACATGGCGCTCACAACCTTGCTGGGTGAGTAAGTTTACTTTTTTTACACATTTATATAGCGAGCCGCTTGTTTCAAGATCGTTGCCCACTCGCAACCGCGCAACTGGTGAGCCGACGCTGTAATTATACTGCTGCGAACCATTAACCTGAATATGCTGCTTTCCTCTCTTTTAGACATGATCCAAAGCTGCGCGGGGGTTGATTAACGCATCTTGCACAAGCGTGGCTTACGTTTCCAAGGTGTACGATGTGGACGAAAGAGTAGAAATTGACTAAAGTCCCGCGACTGTAACTGCATACCCAGAAGCTTGGCTAAACCCCAATATTTACATATAAAATATATATATTTACTACTTTTAATGTGGTTTCTCAGTGAAAATTGTTCAAGCATCTAAACTTTCCTACAGGGTTCTCTTCTCGATAATGTGGTTGGGGCCATAGAACCTGCTCACGTGTCTGTCTACTGGAGGCATCGTGCATACTTTCGTACATACATATATACCGATTTTGATTATCTACAAATTTAACGAAGTCGAAAAACCTCTTTTACGACGACCGTACTGTACCGTTATTGAGATGCGACGTTCATAAAAAACTCCATTTCCTGTTGTGATTTTGCTCTAGAACAAACAGATAAGTGTGCACGTACTAATACACAAAACAAATGATACAAGTACAGTTATTTACTGATTAAGCTGGTGCCGTTGCCTTCGTATTCGCACAAAATCAATAAAATTTGGTGAAGCCATAAAAATGAAACTCTGTTGCTAGGCCATTTTATAGCAGAACTTTCCTGCGAATTAATTAATTAGAAAATTAATAAAACCCAAATTTGTGGCGTTTTAGTCAAAAGAATATTAAAAGTGCAACCATACAATATTTTATTTATTTTTTTTGTTTCAAAGTAATCTAAGATCACTTGAAAAAATGTTTTATGTAAATACATTTTATTTAATTTTAATATGTAATACTGTTATTTGCTTTTTCGTTGTAATTTTATAATATTTCATACGAATAGTGTTTACAGTTAATTTCTATTAAATATGCAAGTAAGTATGTTTTTTTTTCATTACGACATCGCGTTATCATCTACATCAACTGACTTATATTAGGGCGAGTAAAAAGTCATCCATTATTTTTGCATTAAATTGAAGGCTTTTATTCAACGAAGGCTAGAATTTTCCGATTTTTGTAAAATGTGCACTGTGCAATGTGCTCGATAACTTTTTGCTATTTTGAGGCTAATGCTATTATGCTTCTCCCATAGAAACAATTTCGAACGATCAATTTTCAGAGACTTCTCTTCAGACCAATTCTTCACCCGTCAAATCATTCGCCATACACAGGTACAGATCGCAATCACCGAACTTTTTGGATATAAAATAAAATACACATTGTATTATATTTGAAAGTTATTATTTATTCAGTTCCATTTGACTCAACACAACGTTTGGAACGATCAACCAGCGAATGCATAGATTTTTTTTTGTCATTTATAGAAATGTTCTTCAGTACCTCGGTTACGGCTGCTTGAATTGCTGGGATATTATCATAAAATGCTCCCTTCATCTTGGTTTTCAATCTTGGAAATAAACAAATAGTCACATGGTTATAGATCAGGCGAAGACGGAGAATGGTCGATGAGAGAAATCTCTTTTTTCATTAAAAATTCGAGCGATTTTTTGGTCGTTTTTAAATTCATGTGGAACAAATCGCGCACAGACCTTTCTTTTCCCCAAATCTTCAGTTAAAATTCTCCAAATAGTGTTTTTACTCGTATTCAATTCCTCAGCCAACATTCTCGTAGTAAAATTTGCATCGATACCAATGATTTCACGGACTTTTTCCATCAGTACAGCACGATTACTAGTTTCTGGACGTCCTGCTCTAGGGTCGTCATTTAAATCCTCACGACCATTTTTAAATCATGTAAACCACGTATAGGCTTGCGTACGACTCATACAATCATCACAATAAACTTTTTTCTTTAATTTTTTTTTTTCAAGTTTGACACAAAATTTTATATTTGCTCTTTGTTCCATTTTATTTTTGAACCATTAGCACACTTTTGGTTTTATTGAAATGGCTGTCACTTTTACATCTGTCATCCGACTTACATGATGTTAGGTGCGTTTGAAAGAGGATGAATGTAACTTTTTAATGTTGCAAATTTTCAATAGATGGCGCTGTATGTTGTATGATTTAAATATAAAGCTCGGTTATTTTTAGGACACACCGTGTAAGGTGAATGCACAGGAACAATCCAACCAAGCTCTCGGAGCTTCTGGCGAGTCACTAACGATGTGTGTGCACTGGCGGTGTCCTAATGAAACACAATTCTCCTCGTGTTGACCAAAGCTGGGCGATTGCTTTCTTCGAACGGTCTAACCATTGAGAGTACAGGTCTGAATTAAATGGTCATAGAAGAGCAGCTCACAGAGTATGATTATTAGCCAACCCCACCTAACATACATACAACAAAACCTTCCGGCTCATTGCTCTTCGACCATGGCCTATGTCGTTCGACCGTGCTGTATGTAATCCACTGTTTATTACCAATAACCATGCGCTTCAGTAATGGCTCGATTTGGTTACGATTCGACAGCGTTTCACTAATAGAAATCTAGTTCGTGAGGTTTTTTCTCGTTAACTCATTGGACACTCATATACCGAGCTCCCTTGTGCATATAGTGTTTTTCAAGTGGCTCCAAACTGTTTTTAGTGCAATATTTACCTCCTCAGCAATCGAAAAAGTGCTCGCTTGAAGGACAGACTTTACGATTTCTATTATATTATATAATATGTGGATGAAAATTTTTGTCAAAGGTGATATCCTTCGTCATCAATGCTGTCGCTCATATGTATTCGCCTTGTCCGACAAGAATGACGAAAATGCACAAGGAAACGAAGAGAGAATGACGTACACGTATACAAATGTAAACATCACGTTTGTCACTTCGGCATTAAGAAAGTGATGGGAAAATTGTTCTACGAGCTGACGGGATATGACATCATGCCTACCTGACATATGTCGGCTCAAATGATCGGAAGCCTTCTTGCAGGGTTGTTACTTGACCAATATATATGTATGAATCTTCTCCATCATTCATATAATGCATTATTTTCTATTCAAATCCGTTGCTTATTTTTCATTTTAGTTTCGGTCCTTGACACATTTTGATATTTTGCGGCAATTTTGATTATTTCCCAAGTAAATAAATACGTGAGCTAATTTTCGAAATTTGCTTGCATATTTTTTGCAAATTGTTTACATGTTGTTCTAAATAATAATTCTTTGTCCTAAATAAACAACAAAAAACCAGTTTCATTGTGATTAAAATTTATTAATGATTTTAATTGCTATTTATTCTAGACCACGAAAATAGATAACGTTTTGAGGAGGGCTCGATATTGCCTGCTGAGGTGTTTTCGGCCGCAAATAGAAAAATTAATTTTGGATGACTCGAACCCTGCCTTTTCGAATGTTAGTACACAATGCCAATCAGTCGGCTATTTTTGTTGGTTTGCTTTGTAGTTGTCGCCTTTCACATCGTGGGCGAGCCGGTGCTCCTTCGTCCAGACAGAAGTCGTGCAATAGAGAAGTAGGAAAGCATTTTACTTTCAAAAATAAGTTATCTATATCCTGGCCAGACGAAAATATCTATTGATCATCGGCTAATGAGATCAATAAAATGCACTCCGGTGGAGGAGGGAACTTCGGGATGTATAAATCAAACGGAAGTGGGGAGAGAATACCACCCTGCAGAACTCCTTGTTTAATCTTACGGAGTTTAGAACTGGACCGATGACTGTCTGATAGACCATTGGTCACTTCTTCCCTCAACCCCGTCGGTAATGTCTAGCCTTGAATGGTTGACGATGTTAAACGCTTTAGACAGTTCCGGTGCTACCGAATTCTCGTCGTCCACATGGTCGGTTTTGATGAAGTCCTTGGACTTTCGCATTGTTTATGGCGTCAAGTGCGAAACGTGTGGCTATGCAATTTTTGATAGCTATGCTAATGTGCTGATGCGCTCAGGTGGTGTGTGAAGGACGGCAGCAGCAAGGTCTCAATTCTCTTGGCTGTGTAAATATTTATACCATATAATTTTCCTTGTTCGCTAGTTTTCTCGGTTTAGGTAGAATCAAAGAGAATTTCAGTCTTTCGCATTCCCATTAACCCCTGGAACATTATCCCTGGAGAAAATAAGCGAGGCGCTGGTGTTTGGCAGCTTGCACAGACGAGTTGCTTCATTTTGTCCACCGATGGGTGCATTGTAAAATGTCTTCGGAACCGACGAGACACAACCACCAAATTAAATTTCTACCCGGTGCTCGCATTTCGGGTTGGACAGCGATTTCACTGTGATCCAGAGCTTGTTTAAATCAGAGGACTCGAAATGAATGTATGTACCAAAAAAATATACGAGGTTCGACCCAATGGTTCAGCTAAATTTCACTTTTCTCCAACAAAAATACATATTTCAATTACTACTCGAATAATGCATACTTTTATTACATACTTTCAGGAGCTGGTACAAAGTTTTCTAAACGCAATATTAATATTTCTGAAAATCAATGTACGCGTGTACGTACATACATTTGTATGTATTTAAAGTTTTCAATACTAAAGAGATAACCTTTTAGCGTTCGACTATCAGTGTGAGACCGCCAATCACTTTAAATGTTGTTCAGTAAAGTAAGCTTCAACTGATACTCAATTACAATACAACCACACAAACATACAGGCCTACATGCTTTCAGATAGTATCAATTACATACCTACTCAATGGTATCAATATCAAATAAAGTGACCGTTTAAACGAATGACTGACGAAAGAGCGAATGGCCTCCTCGTAAACGGTTTTTTTTTAATATGTACATACATATTTTATATGATTCAGCGAGTTGGGTTTTGGCAGCTGCGCTTTGGAGTATAATTCGTGATTGTGAATGCAATGCTGGCGAAGTACCAAAACGAAGGTCAGACGCTGTGCTTATTATAGCCGAAAGCAAACAACTGGAGAAGAACACATACACCGCATTTGAAGTGGCCAGTTGGTAGTTGTAGTTGTAGTTGCTCAGGAATTTTGTGCAACAAGTTGTGGATTTATAATTGTCATATGACACAATAAGTTGAGGTGATAAATTTAAAAAAAACAAACTTACATCAACTACAAACTCATACATATAAAATTACAAAGGAGAAAAGAAATAAAAGAAAGCGAAAAATGGTATTGGATTTGGAGAAACGTACTTTCCTTTTGGTGACGGGAGCATCGCGTGGCATTGGTCAACGTATGGCCGTGGAACTAGCTGACCATTTGAAAGCGGGCTCTGTGGTTGTGCTGTTGGCACGTACGGAACAGGGTTTAGCACAAACCAAATCTAGTATTGAAGCGTTGGGTAAAGATTTAAAAGTATACATATTTTCCATTGACTTGAGTACGGCCAAAAAATCACAATTCCTTGAAATATTAGACAAATCGCTGCAGGGTGTAAATGTACGCAGTTTTGAACGTGCTTTTATTCTACACAACGCCGGTACAGTGGGTGATGTGTCGAAAAGCGCCGTGGAGTCGTCGGACACTGACGATTGGCAAGTATATTTCCACATGAATGTTTTCTCTGTGATTTCATTGAATTGTGAGTTTTTCCGTAAGTTCACTGGTGTGTCCAAGTTGGTTGTGAACATCACTTCGAAATGTGGCATAGAGCCATACGGTTCTATGAGTTTCTATTGTTCTGGTAAAGCGGCCAGGGAAATGTACTTCCGTGTGTTGGCAGTCGAACAGGAAAATGAGGATGTATTGGTGTTGAATTATGCACCAGGTGCCATTGATACTGAAATGACGGAATTAGTACAGCGTCAGAGCTCCAATAAAGAGTTGGCTGATTTTTTCAAAATGCAACGCGACACAAAAACAATGTTGACTACTGGTCAAACAACACAAAAATTTTTAAAAGTGCTACAGGAACAAAAATTCAAGTCTGGCGATCATGTAGACTATTGGGATGATGAGGAATAGAGCCAACGCATGCTACAAACGTGCTTTCCCGCTTAATAATACATGTCTCAAATATGAGAATAAGAAATATTAGATTATAATATATTTATCTTCGTGCAGATATGAGTTGCAAACTTTTTTTTCTGAGATTTTTATTGCCAATATATACACAATTTATAGAATAATGGGTGCTGATGTGTGAATTTAATACAAATATTTTAAAATAAAATGGTTAAATGATGAAACATTGAAAATATGTTGATTTTTCTTTCAATGTTCAGAAGAAAATATCGTTTCAAAAAATTTAAAATGATTGTAAACTATTTTTTATTAGCTTAATTTTTTTGTTTTTAACATATATGCATACATATACTACTACTTTAACACCTCTGTGCGCTTATCATTTTCCACGTACTCTGTAGTATGTAAATCTAGAAGAAATCAGAGGCCCGCAACCGCTTTGTTGGAATTTTAAGTAAATCATCTGTAAGTGTTGATTTGCCGCTACTGATTTGTTTCGGCGTGCTGGGCGCTGAGTTTGTATGACTGGCGCCGCTACTTGAGGGTGTTTTGCGTAGGTTATTTAAAGCTTTCGGCGTTACTTTGGCACCTTTCCTTATACGTTCGCCCGGTGTAAGTCTTGGTGTGGGCATAAGTGGTGTTGCCGACAAACCCAGTTTAGATGTAGCTAAGCGTCTTGCGGCCGGTGACATTGAAGCCAAACGTTCCATATTTGAACGTATAAATGGTGAATTTATATTTTTTCGTGCTGTATCAGCTGCTCTTTGTTTTTGTGCACGCATTTTTTCACCAACTTTTTCTGCTAATGCGAGTGCAATATTTTCTCGTCGCGAATTTTCTGTGATTGTGAAAGCTGGACCTACATTCGGTCGTACTGGTGTATCGGAACCATCAAGACGAAACGGTGTACCTTCGATTTCACCCCAGGTCATGAGCGGAGAGAATGCTTCACCGGGACGAGGTGATGGTGTTTTTATTAAGTTGAAACCACGCACAAGGGGACCCTCAGTATCGTTGCCTTGTGTTATCACATTTCCATCTAGGCCGATTTTATTCATTAGTGCTTGTGATTGACTCTTTGCCAAATTAGTATCATCTTTTGGTATTGAAGTTTCCACGAACGGATTACAATTAAGTCTTGTCGCATTGTGTTTTATTATCTCACGACGTTTTGCCGCTTCCACGCGTTCCTTCTCGGTGAGTTCTACACCATCGGGTATGTACATAATGGAGTTTTTATTTGTATATGTCCAAGTTTCAATCTGAAAATACAAAATGCATCCAGTAGTAAGGAAGGTTTTACAACATATTATCTTTACAAAATATTTACCTTCCGTAAAGGATCTGGTTCTTCAAATTGTTTCTCAATGGAAGGTAAAGTTAGCGCGCGCGCTAATTTATCGGCAGACAATTTTTCCTCGTTATACAGCACAGAAAACTTTTGACGCAGTTTTTCATCAGCGGTATCAATGATTTCCTGGAAACTATAATTATCTTCGCTCGTGTAATGCTGTAAAAATGAATCCAACGAGTGTTTGTCCGATATAGACTTTTGGCCACTTTCTGCTGTAGATGGTTTTGAGGAACTTGATGTGGTGGACTTTGGCGTGTCCGAAGGAGCACTAACACTATTACGCGGTGTTAAATTACCGTTTGCACTTGCGGGTGTTTCAAATGTAGCTGGCGACATTGCTGTAAAATACTTTTTTAATAATTATTTGTAAGTATAAATAAAATCTCTGTACTCACAACCCCTGTCGGTAGGTCGACGTCCACTGTACTTTGCACGTATAGCTTCCATTTGTTCGAAATCTTTACGCTCCATTGCGTCTAAATAATCATTTTGAGCACGCAATTTATCCAAATGTGGAAAGAAATCGCGTTGAATTATTTTCGAAAGCTCTTCAATATACATTTCCTCTGTTAGTATTTTTTGTTTGGTTTTCTTGCGCACTGCTCCTGCTACAGGCAATTTGAATTGCTGCAAACTTTTATCACGCTCTTTGATATTTACAAGCGCCTGGCTACCTGGTGTGCTAGGAGTAGGTGGTTCACTCATTTTATTTTTTAATAATAAACTATGACCACAATTAATACAACTTTATATGATTAAATGCGTATATTGTACTTATAAATAAATAAACTGCAATACATGTAAACAGCTGACTCTGACATGCCCAGTGTTGCCAAGTTTTAGTAAGTTGAACTGTGTTCTGGTATGGAAGTTATTGTGGATTTCGTTTTGTTAGCATCCGTTATCTGAACGGAAATGGATAAAAGTCTTTCCTTTTTTGCTTCTAACCAACTAAAATAGTTTGTTCAATTGAAATTATTTATGAACTGTGATTCTCTTATGACATATGAAGTTTGTAGTTATTTTTTATGAAAATAATTGCGTTTAAGTTTGTTGCTGTCGAATTTTAGTAAGTTGAGCTGTGTTCTGGTATGAAAGTTATTGTGGATTTCGTTTAGGTAGCATCCGTTATCTGAACGGAAATGGATAAAAGTCTTGCCTTTTTTGTTCAATTGAAGTTATTTGTAAACGGTGATTCTCTTATGACATATGAAGTTTGCAGTTATTCTTTATGAAAATGTTTGCTGAAATTTTTATGCGTAAAAAGAAGTTCCGTTTCATAAAGAAATGAATTAGTGCGTATCCAGTGATTGAATACTACAAATATAGCGCCAACTTGATTTCTAACCACATAATAAACTTGATTTAATGAGAAATTATGTGAACAACGATTTTTTTACACAAACAACAAATAAAATAGTTTATTAAATTGCAATTTTATTTTGAACGGTTTTTTTTACGGTCTTTGAAGTTTGTAATTATTTCCTATGAATATTTTTGTGTTAAATTTTATTCAGAAAATATTCCATGCAGAGGAAGTGAATAAGCGGAAATTCTCAAGAATTCTCTTCAAGAGGAAGATCCGTTTCCACAAAGAAAAGAATTAGTGCGTATCCAGTGCTTGAATATTGCAAATATGGCGCCAGCTTGATTTCTAATCAAATCAAAAAGTGTGTTAAATTGCATTTATTTGCAAGCGACGATTTTTACATCTTTTTTTTTCAAAGTTTTAACTATCTCTATGAATATTTTTGTGTTCAAGTTTATAAATTAATATTAAATATTCTATGCATGAGTAAAAAAGAAAGTTCCGTTTTCCCAAAAGAAAATAGTTAGTGTGTATCCAGTGTTTAAGTACTACGAACATATGAATGTGGCAACAGCTTTGATTTCTACATAAATACGCTCTTATTTACTTACCCGTAAAATAGATCAAAATATGTTAAAAAAAAGTATTATCGTTTCTATCAAATATGTACATCCTGCAAAAAATTAAATCTCCTTATTAAATATTTAAGCAATGGGAAAAGCCAGATAAATAATATTCAACACAAAATCGTTTATAACAAAAAAAAAAAAGAAAAAAGAATTTTTAATTATTTTTATGAGCTACCAACCGACGAATGTCACATTACTTCCATCTTTTGCCTCTGCCACATTTAATTGTTTTTCCAGACTCCTATATTTAACTATAAAACTTTCAATGCCACGATATCAAAAACATAATATTTTGTCAACTATAAAAACAAATCTACTTAGTTATAGTTTATAAAAGGAAGGAAGAACTTTCATTGATTTCCGCTACAACAGAAAAGTGGGAAACTACAACATTGAATATCAATACTAAACACAAATCTGTTAACAGTAAGCAATAATATTCACATCATTTTTGTTGTCCCTTTAAATATATGTACGCATGTTGGTTTGTTCTTTTGCTCATTTCATTGCTATTTTAAGTCAAATGCAGCTTACAAATGACACCCAAAATGTATGAAGCGTCGAAGCGCAGAAAAAATAGAAATTATGAAAACCGTTCGTGTGTGTGTGAAAGTGCATGAGGCTATAGTTGCGCTGCTTTTATTGCTTACACATGCATGCTTGTGCCTTCAAATAGAAAAACAAGAGAAAAACATTGCATTCACGTCATCGATAGCATTAATTTTCGAACATTTCATCACTTACTATGCAGCAATAAAGCGCGACAGCAACGTTCCAATGGAGCTCGCCACCTTTGGGTTTAATGTGTTCACATCAGAAGAAGGGCTGCATGGAAAATGTAACAGAGATGTGTATTTACATATTGTATACATATGTGTATGAAAATTTTTTATATAAAATTTCAACTACATTCAAATGATGGTGTAGGGCTGAAATGTAGTTGCTGGAAGCGTAACAGTAGCCAGAGTGCCTCCGTCTTTTAATTGTTTTCAACTTCCTATGACAAATGTACATATTTACGGGGTAGGTTCCAAAAATAATGTGATTTTTCAAATTTTGTGTGCTACATACATTCGATTATCGTATATTAAGCTTAGTTGTGTGTGTGTTAATACGTGTTCGATGATTTTCTGTGGTCGAAAAAAATGCAGTATGCATAATTTTTTACAAATTATTTGTGAAAATAAATAAAAAATTTGTCAAAAACAATTAAAATTTTAACAGTGACCTACGATGTGTTTATCTTGAGTGCAGATGCAACGAAAATGTTGAGAAAGTGAAGCATATTGATATGGGGAATTCATTCAAATCACTAAAACAGAATATGCTGAGGATGTTGACACATCGATTTGTGCTTATCGTGCATTTTTTTTTAAATATTTGTGCATGTACCTGGCAGCGAAGTCCATTCCGTTCCTGCTGAGTGTTGAATGAAGTTATTGTTGACCTTGGTTCGCCTACTCCACGAGTGCATTACATACGTCTGTGTGAACTATTTCAAATGTGGCAAAATACTAAATATAAAAATTATGAAATTAATATATTTTTAACACAAATGAGATTTCACCACATTTTTTGAACAGACCTTGTATAGACACAACATATAATGTATGGGTCTGTACTGCTTTGAAAGTGGTTATAAATTTTTGTTGGCATCTCTGTCGGTTTCTTGAATTTGAATTACTCGCTCAATTTCCAATGAATCAAGCCGCTGCAGTTGTGTCAACCGATGATGTAGTGGTGATGATGCCGATGATGGTGATGATCCCAGCCACGGATTGCCAATAGTATCAACACGAAGCACTTGGTGTTATTATTATTGTTGTTGTGGTGTGTGATGGCGCATGCCATTGTGCGTGGCGTGCTAATTGATGTGGCCGAGTAAATGAACGGTGGCCGTAATTTGTTTCGCATTCTTTGATTCTGCGGTTGGTTGGTGCATGCAACAAGTACATTGATAAATTGTTAAAACAAACAACGAAAATATACATACAATTTCTTTAAATTCATAAATTTGCATGAATGTGATAGCTTGTATGTTTATATAGTATAAATGTTGCTGAAATTGTCAGCAACACTCAACAGCGGCAATGCGTAAATAACAGTACATATGTACAAATGAGTGTGGAAATACAAGCAGAGAGTTTAGACTTAAAATGTGTCCGTTTTTCGCTATAAAAATACATAAATTTCGTAATTTGCTGTTCACGCCTCGTAAAAAATGCCATTTAACTTTGCTGTAAGTAGCTGTGACAGTAGCCGCAGAACATTTGTCAGTGGTTGCCACCAAGGGGAGTACAACACACATGCTCTTTTGTATGTATGTATGTAAGTATGTAGAAGAACTACTTGCGGCAAAGTGAGTGCAGAGTTTTTTTTTTGTGAGGAAAAGTATTTGCTATCTCGTTTGTGAAGTTGTGCCAAACACTCAACAACTGTCAGCGCTTGGCAGTAGGCAAGTGCCAAAAGGTGCAAAAATATGAGAGAAACCTTGTTTGGAATGTGGCATAATGAGGTCGAAGGCGAGCATTTTAGCAATTGGCGTTTTGATGAAGAATCTTCGTCACCCTGCTGGAGTGTAGAGAGCATCTTTCAGCATTTTATAAAATTCGGTTAGAAAAGACCTTTTAGGCTTTCATCTTTTTCACAAGAGAACTCTGTTCGTGACAGTATAATGTGCAATGCATTAGTTGCTTCGAATAAAAACCTCCAAATGCTGTGAAATGCCCGAAATTTCAGAGTCTATAGTCTATGTTGACATCGTCCGATGTGCAACTGCCATCAACGACCTAAACTGACGCTGCTCAAACAATAACAACCGATCAGCCCCTGATTATAAAAGCATTTTGTTATCAATTGGCAGTGTTGTGTGAATACATTAGCTGCCTTGCTAGGGTTCGAGATCTTCTCTTCTACTTCTTTAAGTCTTTACTCTCGTTACTATAAAGCTCTACATCGAGCTGACATCCGCAACTAGGGTAAGCTAGCGCTACCATTATACTCCCGGAAAGGTCTTGTCGCATGCCCAGGACGGAGCATGCTGAGGTACTTGAATTTGGTTTTCCTTCAAGCCTCAAAAGCTTCACGACACCGGCATCACAATGGGCCTACCGACCTAAGTACGCTGGTCGTTTTGATTAGCAGACTCATGAACTCAACNCTCATCAACTCAACTCAAGCCTCAAAGGCGAAACTATTACAAAGAAACTTTCATAGAGCTCTGAACTGGTGGTCTCTCTCAAACTATAAATCTAATTTTAGTCAACCGCCAGTACGTTCACCGTCTAAAAACTTCACGCACAAACGATCCAACGCAGAGCAGAGCACCCACTTGAGTTGAGTTGAGCTGATGCCGGCTTAAAAGTAATCGGCCTGTACCTCCTGAAGAACAGAACTTACTACATTCAGTTTATCAGTCCCAACTATTCCTATGACCTCCAGGTCTTTAGTATCTGAGTTCAGAGAGAATCTAAAGTTCGGATTATCTACCACAGAGGAAATTTGCCAAATTTATTCATGAGTTACTGTTGACAGTAATAACTTTGAGGTCATGGAAAAATTCGCCTATGAAGGTCTCTCATCAACGCCAAATTTTATGCTAATTAAAAAAATAATAAATAACCACTTTGGACTGAGAGGGCAACGAAACCTATAGTCCTCTACAGATGCGATTTTGAATGACGTTTTTTAGATCGCTGACTATAAATGTAGGGAAGTCAAAGGTTAAAAAACAAACTGTTTCTATGGATCTTCGTTCGTAAAGCCGTTTGGAAAAGTGATGCACCAAAAGGTGCCACATGCACCGTATTGACCTCTACCACTTGACTTATAAACCAACGTAGGCGTGTCTAACACATTTACTTGTGCCGACGCCCATTGAAAAGGTACATGCATACATATGTTTTGTAAGTATGTATATCACCCACCAATACTTTGTGTTTACATTGTTAAATCACAAAGGCAAGAGGATGCACAATACGAGTCTCCTCTTGCACACGCGCACGGAACCATGAAACCATGAAACCATGAAACTAC